TTAGCTATCAAGAACATTTTGTGCTCCTTTTTGAAGTGGATGAGCCACAGCAGCAAGATCTCATACTGCTCAGAGATGAAAAGTTGCAGGTCAGGGGCATGAGAGAAGAATAAGTACTGTTATTCCAACAGTCATAGCACCTCTTCTGTTGGAATTGAAAGGCGATCATGTATCATATTTTATGTAAGCCAGTTTTATGTGAGACTCAACTGATAATACGGAGTCGTCCCTTAATTGGAAACTAAAAGACGTGTTCCGTATTGACTTGATACGAGACATGCTTTGTTCCGTAATTATGAGAATCAGTACAGCACAAATCTATGTTAGAGAAATATTACAGGTTAGACTATCAGGACAGGGCGGTTTGTATGAGACAGAAGGAAACCCTACTGCTCTCCCTCAGCCTGTCTGTCATGGTATAGACCACTGTAGTCGTGTCGTCATTTTGTAGCCGGCGCCATGTTGTTATGCCCATGTTAGGAACTCCGGGTCTAAGCCCCATTTCTCTATGGCCAGAATGAATAAGGTTTTCGAAAAATCGCCTCTATCGCCCCCTGTGTTAAATAAAAATGTTCAGAACCCGATACGTTTTGTCCTGTGAACATTATTCTCCAGAATACCACTGGATCCTCTGAATTACGAGGTCGTTAAAGAGTTGAAATATTAATATTGCTACATATGAGCTAAATGCTACTGCGCACTGAATTCAGGTAATTAGACTGACAGCCTCCTTAAGCAGGTTATCACCCGCTGATGAACTGATTTTGGCTCTCAGAATATCCTAATTTTTATTTTAATGCTGGTAACATTTTTTTCTGAGGAAATTTGCTTTTTGTTCGACTTTTCCTGTTCCACCTTAAATGGCGCAGCATTCACGTTCCGAAATGCTGCGCCATTTAGGTGGAACGGGAAAAGTCGAATAAGCAGACAGTGAAAAAGAAGCTGACTTCAGCTTCATGAAGGGTGGAAAGGCGTGATATGAGGAGGTTTCTCTATTTCCGCTGAATAGATGAGTAACATTTAACTTATTTTTGCTGTTTCACAGAACCGACAGGGTTTGTGATGGCTAGTCACAGCTGCTGCACATTTAAGGTGGGACAAGAACATTCAAACAGGAAACTGCAAAAGCAGCTAAATTCTGCCTTGTAGTTTTAACACGGGTAGTATTTTCGATAAGGAGTTTTAGCCTATCAAAATATCCCACTCAGAGGTTTTATTAACGGGTATACCTGTAATTATGTGCTACTGTAGAAGATTTCGTTAAGGTAGCATAGCTAGTCAGAGCACCGGCACAGCCTGCCTTAGTTTTTTGTGTAGCTTAGTGACATCAAATTGATGCACAGTAGCTTTAGCTCTCATGTAGCAATATTAGTTTTATAGCTCTTCACGACCTCGTAATTCAGAGGATCCAGTGGTATTCTGGAGAATAATGTTCACAGGACAAAACGTATCGGGTTCCGAACACTTTTATTTAACACAGGGGGCGATAGAGGCGATTTTTCGAAACCCGATTCATTCTGGCCATAGCGAAATGGGGCTTAGACCCGGAGTTCCTAATATGGGCACAACGAGGACTACAGAATGACGTACGACTACAGTGGTCAATGTTCAGGACCCAAACAGAGAATGTGACTCGCAGCCAATGAGAACCGCTGTCAGCGTTGCTAAGATACGCCTGAGAACAGCGCGAGATATAAGAAATGGCAGAACACTCAGACAAACTATACACGTCACATCCGTGTGTGTATGTAGTAATTTAGCTGCTGAATCAGTGGCCCCACCTTAAGTTGTACAGCACCGGTTTGCTAATTGTAACAAGTAAGATGGAGAGAGATTGAGAAGCTTCAGCTTCATCTATTCTTATTTCCCGTTCTACCTTAAATAATGTAGCACTTACATTCAGACACCTGTTCGGGCGCGTGTGTGTAAGTGCGGCGCTATTTAAGGTGGAACGGAACTTCCGAAAAGAAGCTAACGTCAGAGAGATTAGCAAACGAAGCACGGCGATGTGGAGTTTAATCATTTTTAGCTGCTGTTTTCGCAATGTTCATAACTTACTCGACTTATGTGAAGATGGACAGTCGCGGTAAGAACTGCAGAGAACCAAGTTATGGTAAAGCTAGTTAAGGAGGATGGAGAAATTTCTGAGCAAGTAGGCAGTGAGGAATGATTGACAGGATGATAATTTAAGTTACTTAGCTAGCAAACGTTAGCATAGTTTTTTTTATTTATTTTTTTTATTTATTTAAAGAATATATACGAAATATGCAACCAACATCAGACCAATACATTATCAGACACCATATAAGAATATGTGAACAGTACAGGAGGATGCATACATACACATATACACACTCTCTCTCTCTTGGCTCTCCCAGATCTGAAGCTGTACTTTTGGCCCACTTAGTTGAAGCCTTTTGTGGCCTTTATTACCAATGATACACAACCAGATGGTTAGACGCTGAAAGGTTAAACTGTGAACATGGAATACATGACTTACTACCCTTGACGTATTGTAGGGTAAGCATCTGAGCAAAAAACACAATTCAAGTTTAGAGAAAAATACAGAAAACATACAATCTGCCAACCACTCTCTCAGCTCTAACCTTGATTAAATCCATGCATAACGTCCCCCACTATATTACAATTCAGAAATGACATTCTCTGCATCTTTTAATAATATTATGCACTGTGGAGCATGAAATACATAAAATTCTAGCAAAAGCTGTTTTTAACATTGCTAATGCATTTTTGGCAAAGTGGTCCCAACCCATCCTTGCTCATAAAGGACGAGGCCTTGGATGCTCCTTTAATACCCAAGCATGATTACATCACCTCTTTTAAAATGTTAACATGGTTCCTAGTTTTAAACTGCCCCATTCAAACTTTTTTGGAATATTTTGCAGGCATCAGTTCCAAAATGAGCTTATATTTACAAAAAATGATGAAGTTAATAAGATAAAACATTAAATTTCTTGTCTTTGTACTGCTTTCTTTTAAATACAGGCCACGGTGGATTTACAAATCACTGCTTTCTATTTTGAATTGCATTTCAAATACTGTCCCAGCTGTACTAACATTTTTGAGTTTCTCTTCTTTATCTTTGTGTGACATTGTTTTGTTTGTGAGGGATGCAGGACAGATTTTTGGGACTCTACCTTAAAATGTGAGACAGGTGGTCACCTTGATCTTTTCGACTTAGTCTCCAGATGTTTGGTAGCCCTTATTGCGTGTTGTGTGATTTTTCAAACTGCTGAGAGTTGCTTCCTCCCTCAGCAGTTCCTGTATTTCCAGACAGAATTTCATCCTTCTGTTTTCTTTCCACTTTTAGAGGCTGTCACTTGCCTTTTAGGTCAGCACTTTCAGATCTTGTGACTGAACTTCTTTTTTTCTGTCATCTTTTCGCTGTGTATAACATCATTTAAAATGTGTTCTGGTGGATCAGTATATTACCAGTCACAAAACTAGAGCCTGCTACAGTTTTAGAGCACGCCTTACTAAATACAATATGTAGGGAACTAGGGGTCCATTTGACACACAGCCAGAACAAAGCATCTTCGCTTACTCCACCTGCTTACTTTCCCTCAGGAATACAGTAAACAGGCCTATTTGGATTGAACTTTCAACTATTTTTTGTCAATTAGAGCCTGAAGTGGACACTGATGTGTTCTAACCACAGATTCTGTAACTGTTAGTCTGAGAAACAAAGGATGGAAGTTATTCCATTATTCCTTAAAGTGAGTGTAGGATACAAGATCAGCTGTGCTGTCCCTGATCATAAACTTAATTTACCGGCCAAAAGAAAGGAAAAATAAGTGGGGGAGAAAACTGCAGTTATTAAAAGATACAGAGAAAATGTACAGGGCTGCTAATAACCGTGCAACAACAATAACACCTGGTAGACTTTGGTCACCATCAGATAGACAGTATTTAAAGCTTCCATCTATGCGAGAGAGGAGAAAATCAAGCTCCACTCTTGCTTCAGATCTGAAAAAATCCACAGGTGTTTTTGTGAATCCCTCCACTGTTAGAAAACAGCTCAACACTAAGGATGTGTAGCTGTGAAGAAGCTGTTACTGAGAAAAGAATATAGACAACAAAAGAATGAAATTTGCTAATCAAATAAAGAAGCTGCTGGTGTTCTCAGAACAATAGACCATCCCAGAGTCCAGACCTCAATATCACTGAATGTGTTTCTGATTACTTTGACCATTAGAAGTAGAAAATGCAACCAACTTACTTATACTTAATGGCCATCTCGATTTGGCATTAAATAAATGAAATAAATTGGATTTCATGAAAGTAATGGTGGCTTTTGACTGCTATACAGTATTGTATGTATATATGTGTGTATGTAGGTATGCATGTATGTGTGTCTGTAGGTGTGTATGTAGGTATGTATGTATGTATGTAGGTATGTATGTATATAGATGTGTATGCATGTATGTATGTATGTAGGTGTGTATGTAGGTATGCATGTATGTCTGTATGTAGGTTTGTATGCATGTAGGTGTGTATTGGTGTGTATCTGTGTATGTGTGTATGTAGGTATGCATGTATGTATGTATGCGTGTATGACAGTTTGTATGTAGGTGTGTATGCGTGTGTGTATGTATCTGTTTGTCTGTGTATGTATCAGGTGTGTCTTGATTTCTCCAGATCTGTAAAGGCAGGGTGTCTGATCAATGTTGCCACAATATCCAGATTTAATACTGCAAAATCTTGTGAATACCTTTGACATGGAACCATTACAGAACATGTATGAATTCAGTTTGTTTTCAGTGATATCCTTGATTTTTTCCCATTTGAGTTTTGATTAAAATTCAAGAGCAAAAAATTCATGTGACACATGGGTAGTTTTTGGTTTGTTTTGCTTGCCTTTTTGCCTCCCTGTCATAACATATGCAGCCAGTTGAAGTGCAGTTTTGTCCACAGAAAATCTGTTAGAGGACTTTGCCATGTAATGTTGGACTAACTAACCCCTCACCCCCTCCCAAAAAAAGAGGTTTGTGATGGGCAGGTTGAGTGACCGCTGGTTCATGAATAGCTCCTCCTTGACCAGTTTTTAAACACGTTCTTCTTTAGAAGCTGTCCACAAACAGACAGTGAAGCCAAAACACAAATACAATCAGCCACCATGAGGGCTCTGCTGCTTCTTGGTATCTTGTGTGCTGCTCTGGTGCTGCCAGCACTTGCAGATAATGTGAAGGTAAGAGCTTTATAACATCTAGAGGCCAGTGATATGTACACATTTAGTTTTAGGTTTGAGGTTATATTGGATGTACCTCTTTGTTTATAGATACTTCCGTACATGTATTGTATAGTAGGAAAGTATAAAAAAGTAATCTGTAGTAGGAAAGTATGGTAAAAATGTAATAGTTTTGATTATATCTCTATGATTCATTGTTCATGTTCAACAACATTGGTTTTGATAAGATATACTTTGTTCTGTGCTGGAATTAAGCAGGATAATAATGTATAATCTTGTGTATAATGTATAAATGTATAAACTTTATTTGTTATTTTGAAATGTGAATTTAATTTGAAAGGAACTTTCTACAACTACTCCACAGTCCTTTGACTATTACCACCCTTTAACTCATACCGATGAAGAAGTGAGAAAATCCATTTTTGAGGGCATGACCCCTGAAGAGGTACGTTTTGCCATTTTTAATAAAAAAAATCACCCAGAACAGAATCTAATCAATACATTTCCAAGGATGATAATGTGTAAATTGATATTTGCGTAAGGATTACCATTTACCATCTAGTAAGGGCCCATATACTATATTTTTCTTAGAGGTCCACTCATGACTTAATCCTTAACTAATTTTTACATGATCATTTTTCAATCACTCTTTATCCCCTAAAATTAAATCGGCTGTTTTTGTTACTGTGCTTTTAAGACTGATATATGTAAATTATCTCTCTAAATTATATCTGTTCTGATTGGCTGATACTGTTCCTCATTAAAAAAGCAGTTAAAACACTTCTTATAACTTCAGCATGTGTAGTCGGAACTACACTGATGTAGGCTGGATGGGTGTACTTCACAAAAACAGTGAATTAAAGATGGTTTCTGCAGCTTGGGGAGCGAACAGTGCATTTTGAAATTTTACAGTGTTTACATCCTACATTAAACTCTTTTATTTTACATAAGCAAGGTAAATTTGTTTTTTCATGATATGGGCTCTTAAATCCATTAATGGAGTTCCATGTAAAATTTTTATTACAGCTCGCAGTGGGCTTTTCGAAAATCTTATGCACCTGTCACCTATAATAATAATAATAATAATAATAATAATAATAACAATAACAATAATAATTGTTGTTGTTTGTTTGCATTAATTTTGCAAATCACCTGACAAATTTAGCTCACATTCCCAGCAGTGGTAATGACTGTAAGCAAATTTATTTGTTAAGTCTTGTTGCTTGTTTACTGGCATAAGCGTATACACATTTTCAAGTTCCATTTTTTTCTTATTAGAAAGAAGAGTGGATGAAAAATTACCAGCAACATCAAAGTCAGGCAGATAAGCCATGCTGAAGGCCTGGGTTGACATAGTAAGTTCACTATTTATTCTGTGCATTGTCGATACAATTTCACTTACCACATTGTTCCTCAAATAACAAGCTTAAAACTCTTGTCTGTCTCTGGTAAGCCCTTTTTCTTGTTATTTTGTCTCTTTAACTAGTGCACCAGTGAAGCAGTCGGCCTGACAGAGAAATCAAATGTTCAACGACACCAAATACTGTCATGTGTAACCTTTCACATGATTGAGATATGAAAATAAACAAAGAATTGATTGTCATATTGATTATAGACACAAATGAACTTGTGCTGGTATGGTTTTGTTTTATTGGTGTGACGAAGGTAACTTTTACACTCAGGGTTAGAAAGTTACAACGTTACATTTTACATTCAGTACAAGAGTAAAAATATTGAAAATTGCATGTCAGTGAATGATTGGTAAAAGATCATTTTTAGAAATGCATTTAGTGGTGGGTGATATGGCAAAAATGTAACATCACAATTCTTTAAGAACTTGTTTTTACCATATATATGATATGACGTTTTCATCACATTCACATTTAAAAAGCAAATTGAAAATTATAATCCAATGATTTTTATCCAACATTTTACTGCTCTCTTTAGAATCAAGCATGGAGTTCTGGAGTGTTTTTTTTAAGTACTAATGATATCCACAATATGCTCAGAAAAGCATACTGTGACATACTGTATCACTGTTATTATAAATATTGTCCAGATCTTAAACACGCATACACTATCTACGCTGGTAATACACACCAAGGACATGCAAACTCCACACAGAAAGAACCCTGGTTGCCCGGTTGGAGCACAGAACCCAGGCCCTTCTACCCACTGCACCACCGTGCCACCCAGTGCTAATTTTGAATATTAATTCAACACTGCCCACACAGACAACTGTCTAAAGCATACAACTCCATTGAGGACCGTGTGTACAGGTATGAATTTCCACTGTGCATTATATCATCTATTCATCAGTGCCACATTAAAAGAAAAGATTAATTAGTGAAATGAGCTGCAGTTCTGTAGGGCTGGAATGATTGTGAGTGAACACTGCTGTCTTTTGTGTAATGTAGTGTAATGTGTAGTGCTGTATTTCACGTGCCTAATTGCTATAACATACACCTCTAGATTGATTAAAACTGTCCTTTATAATAATAATAATCTATATAATAATAATATAATATCGCTATTGTCGAAAGAAGACCTTGTATCTCCAAAATGATAACTTTACAGGAGAAGGAAAAAACCTACTTTTAATATAGATCAATGGAACCAGACTTTCTTCCAAGTCATTTTGGGCCATTTCTTTGGGTCCATTCATCATGAAATTTATTACACACAATGAAGTTTATGCCTCCACTTTACAGGCATTAATAAAGATAACTTTGCACAGTTGCCATTAAGGTGGTTAAGAGCAAACATAAAAATGCACATCTAATTTTGCATAAATAAAACACTTTTGAGTATGCAAAGCGAATCATGAGTTAGGTGGGATAATCCCACTTAATTTCAATGTTAAATATTAAGTGTAAAACACTTGTTTGTTCTATTCTGTGTACCTCTATGAAAGTGGAGTTAGCACAAAGTTCAATCAGTCGATCATGCTAAAATGACTTATTTCATTAAGTCTTATTAGACGTACTAATCCTTTATAAATCTTTTTCTAAGGAAAATGTGATCAATAATATGTTTTAATGCATTATAATATGCCAAACCCAGCATTGGCTTATATATATATATATACATATGTACATATATTACATTCATGATTACAGCACTTTATAATATACTTTGTATTCCTGCTTTATGTGTTATGCATATAAGCACTTATACGGTCGTATGCAAAAGTTTGAACACTCCTAGTCAAATAATTTGTTTTGTTGATTTTCTAAATTAAAAAAATTTAACACATCCTGTACTGTAGTCATCACCAACCCTAGTCCTAAACATCCACCTTCCTGCGGAGTCTGGTTCCAACTCAAATTTGCCACACCTGCTCCAGTTAATTCACTTCTTAAAGAGTCTCTGATTTCCTGGATCAGAATCATTAGTGTGAAATAAGGGGGTACAACATGTTAGAAGCAGGTTTGAATTAAAGTCTGCAGGAGAAGTAGATCTCCAGATAGAGGGTTGGTGGCCACTGCTCTACGGAAAACACAGTTCTGCACATTTTAATGCAAAATTTGCATTTATTTGCTGAGTTTAACGTATTGGACAAAATAAAACATTAAGTATAAGGTGTCGTAACTTTTGCACAAGCCACATTTTAAGTTTTATTTTTTCCAGTTTGTTAAATTCAGCAAAGAAACAGTAAGTGCATTAAAATGTGTAGAAGTGTGTTCTTTGTAGAGGATATGTAACTTAGTTTCGCTTAGAAAATCAACAAAACGAGTCATTTGACCAGATGTGCCCAAACTTTTGCAGATTAGTGTTGGTTATATCACAGCATTCTCTCTGTCCTCTGGGGGTGTATTTTCACCAGAGTGTTCAGTGTGCTTGGGGTGCCCAAACTTTTGCACATCACAGTATGTCATCAATTATAAGACATTCTGCATGTCATAATATGTTCTAAATGATTTTAATATGTATGATTAATACAGGATTTATAAGAATCTCTTTTTTTTTTTGGAATAAGGTACCTGTGCAGTGGATGTTTAATCTTGTGCAATACTGAATCAGTTTTTACTAAGTGAAAAAAATAAGGCACATGTTTGTTAGTTTCTGTCCTAAAGGACGCCTGCAATTTTTTCCTCTTATGCAACTTACAGGCATCCTAGTCATGCTAGCACAAACATGCAGTATCAAAGATCAGCTTTCAACAAACAAAACCGATAAGGCTAGTTTATCATCAACATTCTGTTCAAACTCATTCCTGTTGATATTAAAGGTGCAGTGTGTACGATTTAGGGGGATCTACTAGCAGAAATGGAACATAGTATACAATACCATGTTTTCATCAATGTATAATCACCTGTAACTACAAAACGTTGTGTTTCCGTTTAATGCGTATAATGAGCCCTTTAGATCTTCATAAGGAGCAGGTCCTCTGCCACCTTGTTGCGCTGCCATGTTTCTGCAGAAGCCCAGAACAGACAAACCAAACACTGGCTCTAGAGAGTGCCTTTGACGTTTTTTGTTGAAGCAGGAGTTTGAATTTGTTGGCACTATAGCACCACTTGAAAGATGTAGAAAGAAGAAAAACTGTGGTTGCTGCCAGTGCTGGTTAACCATTTTGTATTGTGAGAAGTTTGAGAAACCAAATTTTGACAGTTGGAGGATCACATTTCTGTTTTTGGCACAAGAAAAAGCAAAGGAGGGTGAATTCTGGTTGTTAAAGAAGTGAAAACATGGAGAAGCAAAAGGACACCTCAGAAAGTTATGGGTGCGGGAGGAGTGAGAGAGGGGTATTCAGTTGGTTGCAACCTGTAACTTCACCTCTAGATGCCACTCAATTATACACATTACACCTTCAATGTCTACATAAACATTTTTATTTCTGTTCTATTTTCTGTTCTTCTCTCTTGAAATCAACTACTACTCTTTTCCAAAAACTTTTGATTATGCTAACTGTACACTGAGAGAACACAACTGAAAAGGCTATTTCAAAGTTTTTGATTGCAAATTGCATCATCAGCATAACAATTTAAGTGAAAAGTAGAATCTCTGAAGTTTTACATGAATTTCAGAATTTCTTAGTATTTGGTATGTCTTCATTTTGCTTTAATGACAGTGTGCACTGAAACTGGCATGAACTCAATACGTTTGCGCAAAAGCCTCAGTAGATCAAATCCCCCTCATCTGAACATGTGTTGCAACAGAAAAGACTAAAAAACTTGACTCTTTCGTACAGAGGCCTCAACACTGTCAATTTCACAAATTTGCTTCAGTTTAAATAGTAACCTAAATAGTGCTGAATTTCAAATATATTCAAATAATTTAGTTTTAATGGATGTAACTTTTCTTTGTTTTAAATTTTTCAAGATTCTAAAACTTTCTGTTGTTTATTTCCAGGTTTAAATGACAAGAACAAACAAAGAGATTTTAAATGTGGTCTCAGACGTTTTGATTCTGCTATATAGAAAGCATACATTTTCTTACACTGAGATATACTGTGTTACTGTTACTTTTTTACTGCGTCTTATAAACAGAGGAGGAGGTTATTTTATCCTGAGAGATATATGGCTGATTTGTGCTAAATGCATTTAAACTGCTGTTTTAAACTGCTGTTCCGATTTCATCTTTTGTCAGGGCCTTCAGATTCTGCAACATAGAGAACATAAACAAAATCAATTAAATAATTAGCATGGAAATGATTGTATTTCAAAGAACATATCTGATCTGAACAACTCCTGCATGAGTCATGACATAATCAGCATGTACTTACAGGGCAAAGCTGGAGTGGGTAACTGGGAGAGGCAGGAGAATTCCCTATGGGCCAGTAGTATTTTGGGCCAGTTACGGTGGGCTAACGTATAAACTTACGTAAACAGTGTTACAACCCCAGTTTGATCGTACAGTAGATAGAGAACAGATGAAGCTGAAGATCCCATTCTACCTTGAATGATGCTGCAGTTCCATTCAGGTGCCTGTACAGGTGCTAGCATGTAACTGCTGCACTATTTAAGGTGGAGTGCATATGCAATAAGAAGCCAACATCAGCTGCGAGAGATTAGAGCATCATATTTAGTGCAATGGTGTGAATCTTTTAGTTGCTAAAAAAACAAAGTACTCTACAGAGTTCATCACTTTTTTTTGCATTACCAGAAAAAAATGTGCACCAAAAAAACAAGAATGGAAAAAGCTGCTTAAGGTGGAAGAGTACATTTCCGAGCAGGTGGGCAATGAGAAATGCTGGCCCTGACTTACTAACATTAGTGTGACATTCATGATTATGTTACATATAAGGCTGACAGGCAGTGCTATGTGTGTGTGGCAGGAGAAATTACTTTAGCGATTAACTTAACAGATCACTGAAATGTGTATGATAAATGTTTTCAAATGTTATTTTTAAAAAACTACAAGGAGGTATACTTACTGAAGTGGCCAATCAGTGTTTATAAATAGGTTTGAAATGAATAAGAGCTTACATTATGCAAAACACATTTATTTCTCTAATAAAGACTGTATTAATTATAGCACTGACATTTCATATTTGTGTAAATCCCACTTCCAACAATGTATATAATAAAAAAAAATACAGCTCACTAAGGAAGTGGTTCACATGCGATATCCAGGGCAATCCTGCAGCTATATTTCAGGGATTATTTCAACCTGCATGTAATCGGATTTGTCCTGACACAGAGGTCACTCAGCCTTTATGCTTACTTGCCTGTTATGTTTTATGTAGAATGAGCAACTAATGTAATGTATCTGGATCAATATGTTGTCATATTGATATATTGATTCATAACAGCATATGGACAGGCCTTCATAAAGGATGTAAGCGTGGAAGCAGGGATTTATCACTTTTTAATTACTCTTAGTCTATTTGTGTGACTAATTCAGCTTAAATTACAGATAAAATAGTTCAGTATTTTTATAGCAGTATGTTTTGTATATGAATTCTATTCATCAGGACAATATGTTTATGTAATATGGTCTTAAACCATGAAGCACTGTATATGCAGAAAAGAGGGGCCTTTGATAAAAGCCTTTTGGTTTATGATAAGCACAGTGCACCTGTTTGCAGCACGCAAATCCATAAATTAAAAAAAAAAAACTACTGATATGCAGTACATACAAATAACTCATTAAAAGCCCTCAATGGGCATTCATAGTTGTCGTGAGTTAAACCTCTTTTGAAGGGACACTGCCCATTAGCCAATGCTGCAGGACAGCTCAATATAAAAAGAGGCCAAATTAACAAAGGACACTCTTTTCAGGTCACTTCAGTTCAAGTTCATGTCAAAGCACTAATCTTCCTCTTCCCTGCTATTATTATTTGTGAAGGGGGTTCTATTGTGTTTCTTGATAAAAGTGAACACACATGTTACAGTAAGGTTACAGGAGGATAGCCCACTTCTTTTCAGTCACATTTTACAGGACTGTAACAGTCTCAGACATTTGAGAACATTAGATGTAAAGCCAGTTATCTGGGTAGTATGCATTTATTTATTAAAAACAATAACAATAACATTACAATATACAACCCCATTTCCAAAAACGTTGGGACGCTGTGCAAAATGTAAATAAAAACAAACTGCAACAATGTGCAAATCAATGAAACCCTATATTTCCTTGAGAATAGTACAAAGACAAAAAATCAAATATTGAAACTGAGAAATTTTATTCTTTTTTTTTATAATATATGCCCATTTTGAATTTGATGCCAACAACACGTTCCAAAAAAGTTGGGACGAGGGCATGTTTACCACTGAGCTGCATCACCTCTCCCTCTAACAACACTCTGTAAGCGTTTGGGAACTGAGGAGACCGACTGCTGTAGTTTTGAAAGTGAAATGTTTTCACATTCTTGTTTGATATAGGATTTCAGCTGCTCAACAGTTTGAGGTCTCCTTTGTCGTATTTTTCATTTCATAATACACCAAATATTTTCAGTGGTGACAGTTCTGGACTGCAGGCAGGCCAGTTTAGCACCCAGACTCTTTTAATACAAAGCAATGCTGTTGTAATACATGTAGAATAAGGTTTGACATTGTAGTATATATCGTTCAGCATTAATGGTGCCTTCACAGATGTGCCAGTCACCCACACCATGTGCACAAATGCACCCCTATACCATCATGAATACTGGCTTGTGAACTGTGCACTGATAACAAGCTGAGTGGTCTTTAGCCCAGAGGACACAACGTCCATGATTTCCAAAAAGAACTTAAAATTTTGATTTGTTGGACCACAGGACACTTTTCCACTTTCTCTTAGTCCATTTTAAATGAGCTTGGGCCCAGAGAAGGTGGCAGAATTTCTGGATCCTGTTTATATGTTGTTTCTTCTTTGCATTTTAGAGTTTTAACTTGCATTTGTGGATGCAGTGATCAACTGTTTTCAGAGACAGTGGTTTTCAGAAGAGTTCCTGGGCCCATGCAGTGATTTCCAATATGAAATCATTTCTGTTTTTAATTCATGTTACTGACCTGTTGTCAATTAACCACCAGGTGTTTTTTTTAGCATTACACAACTTTACCAGCCTTTTGTTGCCCCCGTCCCAACTTTTTTGGAACATGTTGTTGGCATCAAATTCAAAATGAGCATATATTTTTCAACATTTGATATGTTGTCTTTGTATTATTTTCAATTAAATATAGGATTTAAATGATTTGCACATCATTACATTTTGTTTTTATTTACAATTTGCACAGCGTCCCAACTTTTTCTGAAATGGGGTTGTATATAACAATATATACAAACAATATAGCATATAACAATATATGTGTGTGTTAGCATAACCATTTCCATAGGTCTTCTCAAAAAAGCCCCTTTCACAGATTTTACTGTTATCATCCAATACTGGCTTCAGCTGATCAATCCTTCATTAAATCAAATCAAGTGTGTTGCTGATGAAATTCAACAAATCTTCACAGTTCACCAAGGAATCAAGAACTAAACCTGTTTTTTGTAACTGTATTCTTGTAACTATATTCTAATGTTACATAATATTTTTACATAAAAAATACTGAGATGTATTTTTCATAGCTGCCTTTGCAAAAAGACTTTTGCACAGTACTGGCAAACTGATACATTCCACTTCTCATGTGATTATTAAGATACATTATACATGCTCTTTAGTCATTTCAGTGTTTTCCTTTTTTTGCAAGATATGTGAAATGCAAACGAGGGTTAAAACAAGCAGAGAAGTGTCTTTCTTCATGCCTTGACTCTTAAACTATTACTGCACATAAGCAGTGTCGTGTTACTTGACAACTTGCACTTAAGCTTTTTTCTTCTTTCTTTCTTTATTTGTAAATACTGTAAATATATAGTTGGCCACTGACATCCAGTGTTTGTTAGCACTGTTAGCCTAGCAGCTCCAGTTTTAAATTAAAGAAGCACAATTTAGGCACCAAACTTGTCTTCGCTGATCAACTACATTTGGGGTCATTTGAAAATATTGTAAATTTGATTAATCAATTGTTAATTTAATTAAGTCAAATTTTTTAAAGACAATTTCAAATTAATTTGTAGCTTCTCGCTGTGTTGCTTGTGGCTAAATTGCAGCGACAATCACCAGCTCCCATAGGAAATGAACGGCCGCCTGCTAAAGTGAACGCAAATTCCTTGTATGTGCAAACAGACTTGGCCAACAAACTGGCAGATTGTGGGCCGGATGTGGGCCCAGCAAAGTATTTTAGCAGACCAAAAAAACAAGCACATGGTAAAGCTGATTAATGTTTGTGGGGAAAAATGTTTGCATTTCTGCGATAAATATAAACAAGAATGAGCGTGGCTTCTGAAACAGTCCTGTGCTGTGATTTGTCCAATCATATGCCTTTATGTAAAGGACTTATGTAAAGAGACAGCAAGGCCAGATTTCAGATCAGAAAGCCAATACTTTCACATAATTTCACAGATTTTAAATTTTATTTGCTAAATGACAAGAGAAGTGTGTGTTTTTCTCTCTGTTTCAAGTTCAAAACCAACACTGTCCATTGTGCTGGTCAAAAGTGGAAATGTTAAAACAGTTCGACTCACTCTACTCACAAAATTCAGCTCTGAGGATGAAAAAAATAAATCTAAAACTCAGCATGAAAGATCTAATTTAGAGATTTAATTTAATTTTATATTAAATTCATTTATTTCTTCCAACTTCTGAAAGATGTTTTACATTATTTATTTGTTTATTTATTTATTATTTTTTAAGCCAATAACCATACCATTTTAAAGTGCATGTCAGATTACAAAACATGTTCAAAATAACTTTATCAAAATATATTTGATGTGTCTTGTATTATTTGATTAGTGATCTGGATTAATCATTAATTTTGTCACCATTTATATTACTTTGTTTATTCTAACTTTTGTAAGCAAGAAATTTGATGTAACTACCTTCACAAGTTTCATTTGTGTATCACTGGTCTGGACTACTTTTCACTACACATTATAACTGATATCATTTTCTTTCATTCTAGCAATTATTTTTTAAACAACATTAATGCATTTTAGGAGACTAATAGGAGATATGAGATGACATCACCCTTGAGCTGGACATACCAGTGTACCAACAATAGAAGCAAAGAAAAGACCCCCACACTGTATTTTACTCAAAAGAGAGAAAGTGAGAGAGAGAGAGAGAGAGAGAGAGAGAGAGAGAGAGAGAGAGGGAGAGGGAGAGAGGGAGAGAGGGATTGGCAGGCATTGATAGAGAGGGTCATTTATGGAGTTGAGGTGGTGGTGTGTTCTCAGGTTCCAGCATCGCTGCAAATCTCAGCAGCAGATAATGAGCTTAGCCACCCTAGCTGGCCTACGTCAGGACACAGGGGTCAACTGCTGGATTAACACAACACCGCTCGCTACTTAGCCACTGCAATCCCTCTCCCTTTTCTCTTCCTTTTCTGTTGAGCTGTTTGGACACTTTGTCGTCATTTTTTTCATCTTTTTTTCCCCACAGGAGTTCTGGATGATATATTTTCTTTTTTAAGTGGTTTTAGATGCAGTGAACTTTAAACAGCATCTGTTTGCTAGTTAAGTTTGGGATGGTAAGGATGACTATGGTCCTACCTGGCCTCCAAACAAGCAGGAGCAGGTGAAGCTGGAGAGTTGAATTAAAGCTGGGTGAGACTTTCACCCTTTCACATAGCAGGACGGGGGTACGACCCTGTCCACCTGAACACATAACCTCATGCCACTCTCTAATACGAAGGTTGCTGATGAAGGAACGTCTGCACATCCCCTGCAAGAGGGGCAAGCCACGGTGGACTCCCTCACAAAGGTGGGTTTCATTTAGTTAGTGATCAAACTAATAATTTGCTAAATTGTGTCGCATAAGTTACACAATACCTTAATGTGGTTTAGGATTAATACAGGAATGAAGACTGCAAAGACTACATTTCTGATTAGTTAACTTTGCATATAATCTATCTGGGAAAAATAAAACACATGAAGCTATGTATGTTAAAGAATAGGAGTCTGTTCATACTTATTGTCGCTCTCTGAACAACACCTTGTATCTACAAAATGATGATGCGCTTGACTTGTAATGGATGTTAATGTAACCAAATTTAAGTCATTTTGGACCATTTCCATTGACCCAGTCAGCATTACATTTTAATAGAATTCAAAAGGTAACTGGAGTTTTCAAATAATACAAAGAAGTGAAAACCACAAAAATGGAGAAGTTTTTGCACAACAGTGACGATATGTAAACACTTGGAAGCTTGTAATATTGTAGGTTGACAGAAGATCTGTGTAAACATGTATTAAATGTAACTATGATGACAAGCTGATTTTTGCTTAAGATCTAAGGATTTAGTCCTACCGTGTCCTCATTTCTTTGAGTGCAACACTGACATGTTAGCATGAAAGCATCTTGAAATGGCACGTGTCCCAGCCTAAGGGTAAAAAAGCACTCTGTGCTGGGATGTGCTATGGTCCACTGCATAATTACTTGCATTGTAACTTACAAGTGGAAGCATTCTGAATTCAGCAAACAGATCTATGTGTTGATATCCAGCAGGAATATTAATAGAGAGTAGAGAGATAAATAAATAAACAGACAGACGGACAGACATTCAGTTAGACGGCCTTTAATTTTAATGTAATTTTTTAAATTATTTGCTAAATGTAATTTTTTTGTTGTTATTTGCTAAACATATCTGAAAAAAAAACAAATAAAAAATGTGGTCTGTGCAAAATTTCTGGCACATTTTATGGGTCATGTTTAACTTTTTCCAATCTGTTAAACTCAGCAAACAAATGAAAAATGTGCACTAAAATGTTCAGAAAAACCTCATATTATGTTTTTCCCTGTAGATGATCTCTTAACTTATTTTCAACAGAACATGTAATTTGGCATGGGGTGTGCAAACCTTTGCATACAATTATACATATATAATTTGTAGATAACTAAGATGCAAGTGTATGTCTAAATCTTGCAAAAGTCTCATGGAGTGCTGGGTTAAAGCACAGAGCAATAATACTCACCCTGAAATAGACCTCTTATGACAAGTAGCTTATCAGTAATATTTGTTGCACACAGTGGTCTGACATGCAAAGCCAAACTCATCTTTGACTCACTGACAACTACACTGAAAAAAAGTTATGCATTGAATTTTGCTTAATTGAAAAGTGTACATCACTCCCACTTAAATAAAATATATTATTTTAATATGTTTATCGCCAAAAGTAAGTAAACCTCAAGACGAAATCATTTTATTGAATAACATTATATTCATCTGGAAATGATATACACAGTTGAGTTAAGTTAATGCATCTCTTTTTCAGCATGCTCTGAGATTCATTGTGAACGCTTGGACACATTACACATAGATTTTCAAATATCAGATTCACAGTACCCACTATTTGATCAGCATTAAAGGGTTCATTGCATAAAAAAGCAAATTTCCTCACTTTTTGAAATTGATAAAGTATTATTAAGATGTGAAAATGCACTGCTTTCATGATGTCATATACACTTACTGAGCACTTTATCAGGAACACCTTCTTCTTTCTACACTCAACTTACGTATACCATAAGGGGTAAAGAGAGGTTGGAAAATGATCATTTAAAAAAGATTCATAACTGGTTTGGTACATAAAACCACACAAATGTTATAAGTGACCAGAGGGGAAAAAGATAAAATACAAGAAAGTGTAGGACCTGGGCCCTTTAAGAGGAAACTGAGATTTTGATTGATATGAATGAGAATATGAATACAATTACTTTTGTTCCCTTGACAATCTGTGTGTATACCATGTCAGAGTGTAGTTAAGCAAGATCACGAAAGTGTACATTTATGTTCTGTTTCTTCTCTGATCATATAGGTGGTGGCATGTTACCGGCACCTGGCCTCCTGCATCGGTAGCTCTACAGACAGTGTGAGTCTGCGGCAGGAGCTCCGTCAGACCAGAGAGCGTGCTCAGACACTCGCACTGTCCTGCCGCAACCATCTAACTGCCCGACTGCGGGACAAAGCGCTGTCTGAGGAGGAGAGGAAAGAGACAGAGCTGCAGTGGGTGGCCTTCTCCTCCTGCCTGGAGCTCTTCCACGCAGACATGTGCAAGGTCTACCACATCGGCAACTGTTTCTCAGTGGCCAAAAACAGTGCTATGGTGCAGACTGGCATGCAGGGTGAGCACATGGAAGTGCGTCTGTGTGATGGTGCCATGATTTCCAACGTTTATGTTCTTGGATCAGTACTTGATGTGTGACTCAGTATGACTGGCCCAATTCTCACCTAATCCAAAACACACTCTATGATTATATAAGGGCATTTGTAATAGCCTATCAACCAATAAGTCCAATATCCTCTGTCCACTGCATTGTGAAAACTTTAAAGCTGCACTATGTAAGGTTTTTTTTGTTAGAATTAATGTTAAAACAGCAAGACATAGCATTACTGAGTGACGAGGAAAAAACAACAAAATATGGTGTGAATGCGCTGCTGTGAGTCACCCTTTTGAGTCTCAAATAATCATTTAAAAGTCAGACACATCAGGTTAAGAATCGCTGGAGTTTTTCTGACCACGTCATATGTGTTTATGTATTAACATCACATGCGCAGTCTCAGAAAGAAGCTCCAGCTCGATGTTTAGATCTCAATTGCAAAATCAATGTTATACTGATGAGGATATGATGACAAGAGTAGATAATTCACTTACATCCTCAGAAGACATGTCCTTCAGAAGACATGTCCTTCACCAAGTTCTCTTTGAATAGTCTTTCCACATGCTTGCAATCATCAGATTTATAAGCTCAACCGATGTTATAAAATATTCTTCTGTGTGTGGTGTGCAACTACAAAATTCCACCAGAGAGGTCTCCTAATCCCCAAAACGTACATAGCGTAACTTTAGAGGAATAGTTGATAAATTTAATTTACATAAATTTCCACTCACCCCAAATATAGTTAAAAAGCCAAGACACAATTTGTGTCATAAATTTGCTTCTTTAGTTGAGAGTAGCCAACAAGTGTGAAAAAGTATGTTGCATAGCTAATGACAGTAACAACACCATCTTGAATTGTGAATTTTGTCCATGGCAGTGATTGAAATGGACCCCTACTCTCTCATTAGGATTATGCTATATGGATAATTCTACTGAATTAGTTCAAAGTCAGAGTTAAAAGGAGATTTTGGACATTTAACTGACTTGAATTTTAGCTTTGAGTGACCCCATACCTCGATTATCTATATTTTATTAAAATGTTTATTAAAATATTACTACCAACACAATACTAATGCGTCCAAAATTTTACCAAATGTTTCGGTGATGATTGTTTGGTAATAACAATTTTTGCTAATTTTGAACCCACAAAGCTAGCTGGTACATGGCTAACAAATACAGCAGTTGCACACATACAAAACCAGAATATTTTTATTAAAGCAAAAAAGGTAAACTTAACTGCATAAAATATGTGTTTCGGTAGTGACAATTCATAATGTCACATGCTGATTTTCAGACTTTGGGACGCATTTACTTCAAAGCAATGGGATTTAACTGCTCACCACGTGGCCATGAGAGTCTCACTTCCTGCTCTAAAATGCAGGGCTGTGGCCTAATAGTGGTGTAATATTTCTGGCAGTTGTAGTCCATCAGGTAATTCTAACACTTTATAACAAATCCAGATGTTTGTACACAAAGAGTCTTGTGCCCAAAATGTTTACTTTGGGGCCATGATTTCAGATGTAAAACATTTTATGATTTAAGACTTTACAGTTTGCCAGATGAAGTAACGGCAGCTCTTTTTAAGAATTAACTGATAAAATGAAAAGAAATCACATATTACATAACAATTAACCTTACCACTTATTAAGATTAATACTTTTTAGAAGAGTTTTTATGTAGTTGTTTGCTGAAAGAAATGTAGTTCAACAACACTTCCAACTTTTAAAATACCAGTGCTACCTGCTGAGAAAAGTTTACACACAGCTATGCCTAGAACTCAAATAAGCCTTCATTTTGGCTGCAGCTCAGGTTTTTGCCCATCTTTATAGAGAACAGAAGCCACACAAACAAGTCTACTTAAGGTTTCTTAGAAGTGTGCACTGATTTAGGCATGTAACTTACACAGTGCTAATTGGTGCATTTAAGCTTCCATTACTCGTTAGCTACGTTACGTTGAGCTGAAGCTCAAACCTAAAGGAACAAACTCGGGACACCAAACATGTCTTGGCTGATCATCTGTATTGGTGTAAAGGGACAAATATGTAAATTTGATTTTTAACCAAATTATTCTTTAGACATATACAACACAGATATTCAACATTTAATGTTGGGCTAGTGCCAAGAATGTGGTTTAGTGCTTAGCTTCTACAAAGCCCCTTTTTTTTTTGCCTTCGTCAGCCATTTTGTAAAGTTTATATTATAAACTGCATTTGCACTGATTGACGGATCGACTGTTTAATGCAGGAGGTGCCACTGAAGTAGCAGCCCGTGCCCTGAGCATGCCTGACCTGCAAGAGCACAGTGATGTGCAGACAGCCAGCATGGAGGGCCTGGACCAGAGCCAGCTGGAGCAGGAGATTGCACAAGTGGACTGCACTCTGGAGGACATGGAGATGAAGGTCAACGTGCTGCGCTGGACAGTGGAAGCAAGAGGACCTCAGTATGCTGATCCAGTTAGCGCTGACAGTGCGTCGCTAGCACTCCTGTCTGTCGATGAAGATGTGTCTGGGAGCTTTTGTGACCGCAGCCAGATGTTTGTGGTGCTGCTGCTGTGTGGCGTGGCCGTCGTTGCCGTGGTGCTCTCTGTGTGTGTGGTGTTTCTGGCCTGAAATGCAGCCTTGATGCAGCTTTCAAATGCACCATGTGTTTCACGTGTATTGCTTGGAGAGGATGGTGATGCCTCTTCCAAAGCCTCCTAAAAAGTGACCTCAGAGAAGTGTTTCTTTAAGGAGATGGTCAGCGACAGCAGTTTTCGCAGTGTGGAAATGCTCAAGTTTAGTATCTTATCGCAGCAATTTGGCTTCTCTGCTCTCCCAAAAAATATGCTTTTTTATCCAAGAAATATTAGCATGATGGATAGTTTACATTTGAAGACTTTAGCACTGACCCTGACCCTGGACAGCATATTTATGATATTTTTCCTAGTATGAGTTCCAGTGTGATTGTCTCTTGATCCAAGGTTAAGCTAAAGCCAAAAATGTGTAATTGGTTTGAGGAAATGAATAGTCAACATACAACTTAAATATTGTTACACTATATGGCCAAACACTGTGAACACAGTGAACACCACTGCTAATTAATTCAGGTGTTTCAGCCAAACTCATTGCTGACAGGTGTATAAAATCAAGCACATAGCCGTGCATTCTCTACAGACTAACACTGACAGTAGAATGGGTCATTCTGAAGAGCTCAGTGACTTTAAATGTGACACTGTCATAAGATGCCACCTGTGCCACAAGACAGATCTGCTCCAGTCAACTGTAAATGCTTTTATTTAAGTCCTTCCCAGAGCCCTGATCTTGACCCCACTGAACACCTTTGGGAATTGAAACATAGATTATGAGTCAGGCCTTCTCGTCCAACATCAGTGCCTGACCTCACAAATGCTCTTTTGACTGAATGGGCACAACTTCCACAGACATATTGCAAAATCGCGTGGAAAGAGTGGAGGCTGTTGTACGTGAAAAGAGGTGGCGACTTCATATCAATGCCCATGGTTTTGGAATGGGATGTCAAACATTCTCATACAAGCGTGCTGGCGTGTGTCCACATACTTAGAGTATATTACAAATATGCAGTAAGGATTATGTCCAGATGGAGGTGGTAGAGAGCAGCAGCTCAGAGCCAGTAAATATACTATACTTTCCAAAATCTCTGGTGAAAGCTGGTCAAGACGCCATTTTTTGGTCAACGAATATGAGACCGCTGGTCATTATCAACCAGCGGTCTCATATTCGTTGACCAAAAAAGGACAATTTTTGAGGATATTATTTTGACTAATTAAACTTTTTCTCTAGTGATGGTCAAAAAGCATCTTTGGATGACTTTTACAAGAACACTATTAGATGATGTGGAGTTTATATTGAGCACACCATCACAAACAATACATCACACCCTCTATGGTTCCTTTCATTACTGCATGCCATTTTGTGGTTTTGCCAGGAGAAGAAACCCTGTAAACCTCAGTTGCCATGAACACTGAAGACAGTAGTGCTCATTTCTGTAATAAGAGAAGCTAGCTAGTTGCTAGTGAGTCTAGCATCCATTTTGTGGTGTTTGCAAGTTTTGAAACATTCAGCATGAAAATAAGAGATTGAAAAGCTTCAAATAGGAGGAATCTGGCAAGATGTATCAATAATCTAGCGTAAATGGGGAGTTGAGTCTCATAGGCTACTATGGCCTTCAATAAGATGATTATAACTGGTGAATTTTCCATCAGTCATGGACTTGTTTAAGCTTACAGTCGAGCACACCATGGAAAAGCAATCACACTTTTGTATATTGTGATGTTTTATTAGTTATCTACAACAGAGGCGCAATAAGTGTGCTCATTATGTATTTTACTGCAAGTATTGTATCATAAGAAATTGACATTTTCCTTTATTTCCTTAATTACATACCTTGAAAGCAATAATTCATTTTGTACAATGTGTGAATAAATGTGCACCCACCCAAGCATACACCTAAACTTTGTTCCTTCTTCCATTTCACACAGTCTTTATTCTTGCTTATGTGAAAATAAACAAATGAATAAACAAAATATCCAGAACAAACACTGACGTGCTCTCATTTAAAGTTGCTGAAAAGGTAAGTCTATGATGAAAGTGTTGTGTGAGCTCTCTACATATCAAACACATTTTGCGCCTAATTTGGGTCTATATGGAAACAAAATATGGACATATAGTTTTATATTTTTGAAATGCATTTGAAATACATTGCAACCCAAGCCAAAAAACATTCCAAACACTAAAACGTATTTCAAAATGTACTGACATATTAAACAAATATATTTTAAAATGCATTTTTTTTTAAATGTATGGGGAAATATTTCCCCCAGAAATGTACCACAGAAAAATAAATGTATGTAAATGGATTCATAAAATACATTTGAAAATGTGTGAAAATAGCCAAAATCTAATGCACTATAATACTGTTTGGATACCTTTTGAAATGAATTTTTATTCCAGTATTTTAATTTAATTACTAGCAAATGAACCTTTAACATGGTAAAGGCAAGTGTTGTACGTATTAATAAACTATGAAAATGCAGTTATGATTTGATATCTTGTTTATTTGAAACATATTTTGCGTATACAAACATGGTTAATGCAAAGTACAATGCAAAACACAGAAGTCAGTACTGTTCACTGAGTTCATGTATATTGAGTTATATCTGCAACCTTTGCTAAAACTACATACAATTGAAAAATATAACAACAAATATAAATAAGGGCATTTAAAAATATATATTTAACAAAAATATTTTGCAAAAATCTATTTTAGAAATACACTTGGAATATATATTTTTCTATATAGGGATGCAGCATGAGATATGAAGTAAATGAAACAGTAGATGTTATTTTCTGAATGATGCAGGAAAAGTTGCTGTTGTGAATACAAAACAGAAAAAGCACAAAGAAAAAAGTGAAGACTATCAAGTAAAGAATTTATATAATTGTTTTTGGAAGAGCTGACATGTATGTGCATACACAAACTTCAAAAAAGGAAAACGCTCCTCAGGATTTTTCTCAGTTTTTTGTACAATCCTAACACTGAGATTTTCTTTTAGCTTAATGCCAATAAAAAATATTTCTAATATAAAATTGTTGTTAAATGCTCAAGGTCTGAGCCATTTCTGAACATTTGGTGGCCCATAATGACATTGTACCTGGGGTCTAAAACCCACCCTCCCACACTTTCCAACAATAAATTTTGAAAGATAAATAAATAAATAAATAAATAAATAAAAAGTATATATTTAGGGCCACCTAGTGGCTCACTGTTACTGACAGGATCCAGTTTTTCATCGAACTTGTTAGGCTCAGGTTTGTAATATAACCGTTAATAGTGCAAATGACGTCTCCTTCAGGCCGTGTATTTCTATAGCATAAACGGAAATTCCATCTATATTTCTGTAATTCAGCAATTACATGTTTATTACATAAAAATATTTGAGTAGTTTGTTTTGAAGTGCTTTGTTCTTGAGATATTTACCAATTGCTCACAGTGGTGGTCATAGGAACCAGATCTCCAAAGAGTTTAATGCATCTTAAAAGCTCCCTCACAGAAAGTTATTATATGAAATGGTTATGAATATGCTACCTGATGTCTGATGCATTGTTTTACAGTAATTCTGAGGATGGATTGGCCTATTATGTATTTATGGCAGAGAGGTAAATGCAAGGTGCTGAGACAAAAATAGTCTCCAAAGAAAACTTATATGGCTTTATTTGTGTTGTGACACCTGGTTCCTATCACCACCACTGTAAAGAAATCTGTGAGTTTCTCTAAAATGAACCATTTTACATCAAACCATTCTCAGGGACAACTCAACAGCTCAATTGTGCAGAAAAAATGTTCAAAAATCAATGAAATTCCCCAGTCACTATTATTATTCTCATTATTATATATATATATATATATATATATATATATATATATATTATTCTCATTATATATATATATATATATATATATATATATATATATATATATATATATATATATATATACTACTGCAGTTGTATAGTAAAACATTGTGTGTGTGTAAATTGTGTTAATTGTGTTATTGTTTTTTATCACATCAACATAACCTGTTTTGGAGGAGAAAGAAAGGCAAATCTTCATAAAATGTATTAAATCCTAGCTCTAATAAATGTGCATATTTTGCATTGAAGTCTATCACTATTTTGATGAACTTGTTTTAATGTAAGTTTCTTGTGGTGACGTCATTTCTCACGCCCTCAAATCAGGAAGTTGTGGCCTGTCGAAGAGCAGAAAGTCTGAAGGGCTTTTTTTCTTTTCTTTTTACCGTTTTGGTCACTGAAGTAACACGAAACACGGTGAACGATGCTGGTGAAACGTCCTCACACCGTGGCTCCTCTGAGCGCTTTAGAGGGTCTAAATAAACGCTGCTCTTGTCGTTTTCACTGTGGCAGCGCGACCCGCGGAGCTCTGGCGGTGTCTGTTCGCCGCGCCGCTGCTCTGAGGCGGTGCGGCAGAGCGGAGCTCCCCCCTCCACCTCCGCCAGCGCTGGAGGTGAACGGACAGCGGCTCGGGCTTCGTGAAGAGACCCACAGTTTTCACAAACTGTTCTCGTTCTGCCAGAAAGCGACAACACATCTGACTTTTGCAGTCGGACCTCCGCTTAATGGGACGCAGGTTCACTCTGGGGCGGAAAGAGTCTCGTTCATGAAAGGCCTGCGGCGCCTGCTGTTCAGAGGTAACGTTAACCTGACTGACATCAGTTACCTCTGTGTACAGGCATCATGACGGGGACCCAGTGGTCAACATTTACTCCCACATTATTACTTTATAATAATTGATTTATAATAGAAAACCCCTATTTTGTGATGTTACAGTTGATACTGAAGAGCATGTGTCAAAAAAATAACACACATCGCTTTACTATCCACAAACAACCGTGATCACCGAGGCTTCGTTTGGGATTCAACCACGTGACTGCTTTGGAAACTGATACAAGACAAGCGAACTGGCGGGTCCTCATGACTTCATGATTTCAAGCCAATTCCAAACAGTTATATCTTGATGTAGATTTCATATGTGACACACCTTGTCTATGAAATAGTATGTGAAAGACTAGGGCAGTGCCATATGCGAAGATTATGCATAGGTTTGTCACGAGATTTGCTATAAATAACAGCTGTAAGCTGTTTGAACCTCTAGGTCTGGGCAATATGACTATATTTATCGTTATCGTGATAATTTAGGTCACAAAACAGTATGCTTTTCTGAACATAATGTGGATATCGTCAGTTCTTGTAGAACACTGACCAACTGCATGTTTCATTGTAAAGAGAGCAAAATTAGTCCTGTTTAACTGGATTTAGTGCAACACAGTACTCCAAATATTGAATAAAAATCATTGTGTTTACAGTTCTTGATAGTATTTTAAAAATGTAGCAAAACTGGATCTTTTTTCTCTGTTCCAACCAATCAGATGTTTAAAAAAAATAAATGTCGTGACATATCGTGTATCATGAAAATGATACGCAATATTATATTATTAGTATCGCAATATTATATTTTTGCTATATCATCTACTTTTATCAAGTAACATATCCCAGCGTCACATTTACATTACTAATTACTTTATTTCTTTATAAATGAATGATTTGGTTTTAAATATCTGTGCACAACTCTAGTCCTGGAGGGCCAGTGTTCAGAACAGTTAGCCCACATAATTCAACTCCTCTGGTAATTGCCAGGTTTAGTGGGTTTGTTTGACTAAGGCAATACCAAACTATGCTGGAACAGCACATCTGGCGACTGGTCCTCCAGGCCTGGAGTGGTGCACCCCTGTCCTAAAACAGAACCAAAACTGAGTAGATTTATGGCTGCTGTTCATGCTTTCGACCACTAAGTGTCATTAATGAGCACTGGTTTTAAAAGCTTCTAGTACTCAACCCTTTTCGATACAAAGGAAAGCTTCACTGCCTCAAGATGCTACTGATTTTATACCTATTCATAAACTAAATAAGTTGTGCCACACAATTTCTCTTTGTAGACCTAACCTTGCACTTACCTACATGTTTAAAATGTGAAATCATCAATACTGGAGGGGTCAGTAGAGACACCTATGGTCTTAGATGTCTAAGTATGTGACTGCAAATGCATATACTGGGGGGCTTTCCTGCATATTAGCCAGTCATCCTTTATGAACTGAATCAGGTGTAGAGCAGAAAATCATGCAACTGTGCAGTGCAGAGGGGCTACAACTGAGAAGACTGCAACCCAAAACAGGTATTTCAGTAAGCACAACCGTATCAGATAAAGTTTAAGAGAATTAAATATCTTAGGATACTATTATGTTATACAAGCAGTTGTGCTCCACAAATAAAGATGTTTTTAGCTTTGCCAGAGTATAAGCCTGTCTACTTCATCAAAATGCCAGTCAGTGTCAGGTAACTGCAATATTTATGTAAACCAGCATTTTTCTGTAATAATCAGATTCTTAGAGGGCACCAATTGTACGAAAAACGCCTACATAATGCTTCTCGTTCTCTTATTTGGATAATCGATGTGATATATTTATTGTGGAGTTACCAAAATGTGGCAGTGATTCCACAATGGTGACAAACAAACACAGAAAAGACCACCTGGGTGGAAAAAACACTCAAAAAGCACATCTTCTTTTCATTTGTCATACATGAGACAACCTTAAACATTCCCAAATATGATATCCACCATGTGCTGAGCAGAAATTAGAACTATTATTCTCTACACTGTCTGATGGCTTCATGTCTGTAACTTAGCAAGTTACACTCTTTTCTGTCAAGGAAAGAAAGCAGCCTGCATTAACCTCATGTTTGACTAGCAAAAGACTAGTTTTTGTACTGTATTTTATGGTTCTGTTTCTCTTTATTTACTTTTACACAAGCCATTTGTCATTGGCGAATTTATGTATCTGCCCAAGTATTTACATTGTTGCATTACACTTTTTTGTTTTTTGGAACATTTTGGATATTGTTATCAATATGACTCGCTAATGGTGAAGAAGGGAAAGATGACATAATGATACCTTTAAAAGTGCTTAATGCAAACAAGAAGCAGTAAGCACATCTGCATGATATGAAAAAAGTTTTGTAGCATTATTTGATATGCATATTTTTGAAATGCTGTACTAACATGTATCCCTCAAACATTTCATTGCAGAGTTGAGCACCTCTATCAAAGCCATGCAGTACGACCTGGGTAGGACAGACCTCGCGAAGTCTGGCCACAGAAAACTTATGTTTGATACACATGTAATGTGTCAGCTGATGGAAGAGAGTGGTTAGAATGTGTCTTTTCATTTGAAAATTTCTTTTATTTCCATTAAAATTGCTGATATAATGTCTTAAGCTGATCCAGAATCAGTAATTAAAGTGATTTTTTTCCCTCAGGGTTCACAAGCCAACAGGCTGAGGTTATCGTCAAGATGCTGGTCAACACAACCAACTCCAACATGGATGTCATTTATGGTGACATGGTCACAAAGACTCAGCAGGTAAGAATTTTGTCATTGTTCTGAGATTTGCTCTTCAGTTGAATGTTTGAAAGCTGCAGATGTTGAATGGGTTAAATCTTTGTTTTTTTGTAACAGAATTTGGAAACTCTCTATTCAGTTTTAAGTTGGAAACCTTGACATTTAACAGTAATTTCTTGGGTCCACACAGAATGCTTTATCTAATTTAGATTGTTCTCAAGATAGATGATGAGATGACATTTTTTGTGTTGAAATAATTCTGGAAATGCAGATATTTTTCCATGAATTATTTCCACTAATCTGTGAAATTCTTGTTTCTCAAACTTATTCTTTATTTCTTACCTCTCTATGCTATTTGACAGGAAATCATGCTGCAGAAGGTCATGTCTCACATCGCTGCAGTGAAAAAGGACATGATCATCTTGGAGAAAAGTGAATTCTCTGCATTACTGGCAGAGAATGAAGTAACTGTCTAGGTTTTCTTTATGATATGTATAGTACTGTGCAAAAGTCAGAGATCTCCCTTAATGTATTTCATTTCCAGTCAACAAAGCCAAAGAAATGAGAGTTCCCAAAACTGGAATAAAAAAAAGTATAAGATCAGGTCAAATATCTGATATTATTGAACTAAATTCTATTGCCAGTTTCTTTTTACTATTTGTCAAGTTTGACATTGGCTTAGAGATAAATGGGTATTTTAAAACACAGTCTTACAGAAGTGTTATTATTTGTGAGGGTGACTGACTTTTTAACCATTTTAATTATTATTATGAACTATGTTAACAGTTTTGTTAGTCATCTGTGTTTGTGTACTTCTTTTCACAGAGAATCAAGGTTGAGCTTGGGCAGCTGAAAATCCAGCTCTTTGTAGGTGTATATTTATGCTTTTTTATATCATTAACCCCCCATATCCTTAATGAGAAATGCAGCTGCCTAAGATGGTTAAGCTGGTTGCATTCTGTCATTCAAGAGAGCACAGCTGCTTTCTGGATGAGAAGAATGGCTTAGCTCCTCTCTTTCTGTCCATCTACAGTCATGGGTGTGTGCTATTTTGATGTACAGAATTAGGCAGTCAGTGCTCTGCTCCAGATGTTTTTGCTGTCCTATGACATTACATGAGCACTTGCCTTCACACCCCAGATTAGCTGGTGCCACATGATAGGGCGAATGAGACAAGAAGTGGCAATTAGTTAAATAGAATTTGCTATAGTGACCTTTTGTGCTCAAACTGAGTTTGACAGAGCAAGATCATTTAACTGATAAAAATTATTGAATGTTACTTTGATTAATTACCTGGATTAAGTTTAATTTAAGGTGAACTGTACAAATTGAGCTAATTGTGTTTTGCTGTAGAATTACAGCAAGTTTTCTGTAATGGAAGCACATATGTGCCTGACTGCCTGAAATTCTGGACAAAGCAGTTAAAGATGATGATGATGATGATGATACACAATTTAACTGCCTAAAGGTGAGGTGAGTTGTGACCCAGCTGCAGTCTTAACATGTGCTTACTTGATTTTCTGAACTGCTAGGATGTGATGAACAAAGTACGCTTGGACAACAAGTTGGATATGAACTCGGAAAAAAGTCAGGTGAAGGAGATGGTGAGTCATGCATTTCCTGAATCAAGAGTATTACTGTAGGATAATGCAAATAAAGTGAAGAAGTTTCCTGCTGGTGTTTCTATATTCTAAAGCTGTTGTCATTTCAGAAAGCAGAACATGAAAAGAAGCTCCTGGAGACAAGGAATGAAATGATGGAGATGGTAAATTAATTTGTTTATGATTTATTATGTCTGTGCATTATTCTGTTAAAACACCTTATGTACACTCTATATTGGCAGCTAACATCCTTGTTCTCTGTGTTGTTAATCTGCTGACAAATGTCATGATCATCTTGGTGTTGAACATGTTGCTGTAAGGTTTATTTCTTTCCCAGCTTAATGAGCAAGACCGTCATGTGTCTCTCAACAACGTGAAAATCGACACCGAAGTGGCCGGCTTGAAAACCATGTTGGAGTCTCACAAATTAGACAGTATCAAATATCTGGCAGGTAACAGATTTTTCTGTTTGTTTCTTAATAACTTAACCTTATTTGCATCAATGTTTCTCAACTCCAGTTCTGGGGATCCCTATGGCTGTGTTTGAAATTTCTACTACATACTGCTCGCGTACTGATTGTGCCAAAAAGTAGCAGGTAGTGTCCAGTACGCAGCGGACAAGAATTTCTCCAGAACATCAGATATACCCAGAAAACTTACTTACTGCTCTGGCCAAGTATTCCAGTATGCAGCAGAGCTATCTTCATGATTAGACTGTATCCCAAAATGCTGGTCTTTAGGTTTGTTTCATCATCTATTTATCATAAGTCATTGAATAGTAGTAAGTTATAAACTTACTGAACAGATACTATTGCAGTCTTTCCCTGTAATACGGCACATGGCTTTTGTCGTTTACCGGATACTGCTGATGAAGAGTAGCATGCAGTATACACTTATAAAGTTTCAAATGCTGCCCATATTTTAAATATTCTTTGTTCGCACACCTGGTCGAAGTCATGAAGGGCATGATGATACCCTGAGGAGCTGAATCAGGTGTTTTTAGGCAGAGAATAGTGAGAAACTGCAGGCCAGAGGCTCCCCAAGAGAGTTGAGAACCTCTCTGTTAGCTCTCTCCTCCATTACACATTGCCTCTTTTTAGTGACAAATGGTTTGTCCCAAGCATCATTTAGTGTCTCATCATGCTCAGAGAATATTGAGCACCTGTCAGCACCACATTACCTCAAAAACACAAGATTGGATTATACATTACAGTGTAATGGGGGAGAAAAAAAATCACCTCATTCATCTGTTCTTTGAGAATCAGATTTCTCAAATATTTTCAGTGAAGTATATTCCGATACAAATCTCAGCAGAAGGATTTAGCATTGGGCACACTACCTTAACCACACAAGCCCCTTTGGGCTACAAATCTGACATCCATACATTTACAAAATAGTACAAGGTCTAATTTTTTTCTTTCTTTTTTTTTTGCATTTTTTACGTTTCATTTTTTATGTGACCTGAATTTGATATTAATCTACACTGACCCACATACGCAAAAGAGCAACGCTTTACCCGACACTCATCTAACACAAAGACATGTCATTCTATACGACTAATATAATCCCCTTTCATATGGTGTCAGAATCAGCTGAGTAAACTGCTACTTTAAACTTTGGCGACAAACAGCTACTTTAAAATTGTGGAGGTTGATCAACCTGCCACAAAGAAGAACGCTAGAAAAGGTACACAAACTCGTTGTCAAAAACTGACGCTACTGGATGACGAGACTTTGTGAAGCACATTTGATGTCTGCGCTAAACATGATTTAAAATAGCTGTTTTTTATTTCTTCCACTAGACTATGCCATGCTTACTTGGTTACACTGATCATGCTTGTCGTGCACGTCCTTCTGCATGAAATATACAAAATATAACCATTGTAACAGGCTTTTCGTGATGTTGCTGTAAGGGTTCTGTTTTCACTAGCGTGATTATGATGAAGATTGATGGAAAATTAAATTGAATTCTAATCCGACTGTTCAGTAGAGGCCACGTTGCTGCATATTAGATGTCCATAGAATTTCAGCACCTAATTGTAAATATTCAGTTTCTTATTATTTTAAATATGTGATTGAGTTTGCAGTGTGAACAGCAAAAAACCCACATTGAATTGTATGTTTTCAAATCTGATTTGGGCCTTTTTCATATGTGGTACTGAAATCTAATGTGTATCTGATGTGCAGCAATGTAACCTTTGTCTGAACAGTTAGATTAGACTTCTGTGTCAATAAGTCTTTTTTATAATCAAAATTTAATTCACATGGGAACAGATCCTTTATAGCAATGTTATTAAAATGCCTGTTACTATAGTTACATCTTTTGTTTTGGAGGGCAAGTGCAGATGGTGTAAAGAACCTAGGACCAACATTTTCTAATAAGAGAATCAAAAAGCTTTTCAGAATCACATTTATTTCAAGAATATAAAAAAAATAGAAAAACAAGTTGCTCCACACAAATCTCTTTATATATATTTTTTCTTTTACCTTTAGTATGATTGAAGCCTTCAGCAACCAAAATACTGTAACTCTTTTAGAGTGCTTATGTCAGACCAGCTGCTTCAGAAACATATTCCTGATTCCTGTTTTATTATTTCTGACTTTCCCAGGTTCAGTGTTCACGTGTCTCACAGTAGTGCTGGGATTCTATCGAATATGGATGTAACTGTGGGATATTGAACTTCTCTGCAAACAAATGACGCATCTGAACAAATACCTTAGCAAGACACCAGCAAAGCTAAAAGAACTTAATCACAGCCATCTCACAGTTCTTTTGCTTCATAAGTTGATATGGCATCAGTTGTGTCTGTCAGGCTCTGGCATTCCTGACTCTGTTTCCATGTGATGAACCTTTCAGCACACATTTCAATTACTGACAAATATTTTTTTCCATTGCCTTTGTGATTACAGGATGCTTATGTGCAGAGCAAACAGTGTAAAGACCAAGGCTTATTGTTACTATAATGCAGTAATAAAACTTTTATCTGAAGTCCATTACTTTTGAAGAGCAACATGAAAGCAATGTTTTTTTTTCCATATATGAAATTACATAGAAGGTATGCACTATCAAAATGTGTTCAAAAATTTTTAATGTCATCTTTGGAACCACAGTTATGCTGCCTATGTTATGCCTTGTTATGCTGCCTAGGTGGCTCCCAGCTGTGGTACTGATTTTAGTAAAAGGCCTGGTTATTGTGTTATAATAAACATGACAAAATATCTTCTGTGTGAAATACCAAAGAGCCTGAAAGACAACAACATGTAGTCACTTTATATGTAAATATGAAGATATAACATTGGGACCATGTTGCCTTTTGATAGACTGAATTGTTATTGTTTTTTTGTTGTTGTGAGTTTAGTAATGTTGTATAAACAGACCTAATTTTCTGATATGCAGATACAGTATAAAAAAAACATAACTTTAAATAAACCTTAAAAAACCTTACAAGTACCATATATATATATTACACATATTTATGCATGTGTCAAAAACTGAAAAAATACGAAAATGGACATACAAGGTTACATACGTAATATGCCATAGCTTGCCACATTAGGCTGGTTGAGCAAAAGCTTTCTGTGGCCCTTAGGTTAAATGAATTTCATTAAGCCATTTATAACATTTTATGGCAGCTATAGCTTTAGCATGGACATTTAAGGCTTGTAGCGGCATCAGCTGCCTGTATTTCTGTAATAAACAAATTCACCATGGCAGTAGTATCATTGGTTTTATCATGATTTATTAATGGGACTTGCCATGTTAAATGTTTATTTGAATGAGACGACCACAGTTGTCATAGCAAGTTATAGTGCCCATGCAGCTGGACTTCAGCCTGGAACTACAAATGGTCAAAGGGTCAAACTAGGAGAACGTATTAATGCCATTGAAAAAAATAGTGGTGTTAATTTATCATGTTACAAATTTACATTATTGATATGTTAACTTCTACAAAATAAGTTGCCAAAAAATGTCTGTGTGTTCTGTTTACAGTTGTTTGATACATTTACCTTACAAAGGGTTAAAAGTTAGAGAATCCCACCTGAATCATCCATTTCAGAGCCCTTGCTAGAATAACGGTTTAAACAACAGGATACACAACACCCACACATTTGAATTAAGAATTAACTGCACATTTTGTGCCTGGTAACATACATGCCAATAACATGCTATTCATCTCTTCATTAATAACGAAAACCCATAATCAGAAACTCTTGTCTGTTAGGGGTATACCAACAAAGTATCCAGAGTCTTTTAGTTGAATTTTTGTTCACTTCATTAGCCAAACCAAAACCCACAACAGACATTTTCAGATGGCTGAGAGCAGAGAGCAGTTATTTATGTGTTTCTGGTCAGACTTCTGTTCCAGTGTAGCACTGCTAATGACATCTTCAACTAAAGAAGAACAGAACTGAAAAAAAAAGGTTTGAAACAAAAGTCACTCTATTTAAAGGAATCAACTCAAATGTTTTACAGGTTGTTTTAAGCATTTAAGCAATGATAACAAATTTCAGGAGATAATTTAAAGTTTGAACAAACTTAACATTGGTTAAAAAAAAATTAAACAATGCAACATCTCTAACACACAACTAACATGGATTGGAATGTATACCCAGGATAAGATGATAAGATTGCTTGCCTAATGCAAAAGCTAGTGGACCATGTTAATGTGGCCTAATTGGTCCTGTTATAACTTCATAACAACAAAGCCAGTAAGACTAGTTGTTTAGGGTTCTACCATAGTTTCTTATATACTATAGCTTAAAAAGGTCATAAAAATAAAGCACTGAATGCATATATGCAGAAGACATTCCATACACTTAAAGGCAGTTCATGAAATTTCTACCATACTAGATGTGCCCTGGTCAACTGTAATTGGTATTATTGTGAAATGGAAGTGTCTAGGAGAAACACAGCTCAGCCACAAGGTGGTAGTGCATGTAAACTTACAAACTGGGGCTGGCGAGTGCTGCAGGGATGAATCACGCTTCACTATCTGGCAGTCTCATGGTCACATTTGTTTTTGGCAGACGCCAGGAGAACACTACTTACCAGAATGCCAATAGTAAAGTTGGGTGGAGGAGGGGTAATGATTTGGGGCTGTTATACAGGGTTAGGCCCCTTAGTTCCAGTGAAGGGTAATATTAATGCCACAGCATACAAAGACATTTTAGACAATTAGATGCTTCCAACTTGGTAGCAACAGTTTGGAGAAGGCTTATTCCTGTTCCAGCATGACTGTGCCCCTTTGCACAAAGCGAGCTTCATAAAGACACTGTTTGACAAGTTTGGTGTGGAGGAACCCCAGTGGCCTGCACAGAGCCCTGACCTCAACCCCACTTTACACCTTTGGGATGAACTGTAAAGTTGATTGCAAGCCAGGTCTTTTCGTCAAACATCAGTGCCTGACCTCACAAGTGATGTTTTGACTGAATGGTTACATTCAGTCACATCCGTTTGAGGGTATTACAGCCTCCATTTAGAAGAGTGGAGGCTTTTGTAGCTGCAAATGGGGAAAACCCATATTAATGCCCATGGTTTAGAAATGTGATGTCCAACAAGCTCATATGGGTGTGATGGTGAAGGGTCCACATACTTTTGGCCATATCATTTATATACATGAACATAAACAGTTTCAAAGGATAGAAGCAGTGCTCCTTGCTCTTCATGACCCACTGTCCTGCACAGTTTCAACTATTCCCTGCCTCAACACGTCTGATCCAGCTTATGAACTAGTTATGGAGCCTGTCATGAGCTGGATCAGTGTGTTCATGAAAGGAAATGGTTAAACTGCAGGGATGGGGTCATCACAAGCAGGACTAACAAACACTAATCTAGAAAGTGTTATTTCAGACCACTGCACATGAATATGCCTCCTAAAATACTGATTATTTAATGTAAATGATCAGAATCGGTGACGATCCTCTAATGCCTCAATTCTGTTTCTTTCATTGGACAGTTTCTGTTGGCTACTAAACAGTTGTTTAGATGAAGAACTCCTACTTTTTGCCTAAAATCACTTGAAACAGTAAAATCCCTGATGTGTGTTATTTGCTGTATATTTAACTTGGAAGGTCAAACTAGTATTTGAAAAATGTTTTTACCCATTGAACATATTAATCATTTATTAGTTTCAAGGCTTAATATTTAGTAAGTAGTATCTCTCTCTCTCTCTCTCTCTCTCTCTCTCTCTCTCTCTCTCTCTCTCTCTCTCTCTCTCCCTCCCTCTCTCTCTCTCTCAGTGCTTCGACTGCAAGAACACAGGAAATGTTGAGTGTTTAACACAGACCATTGACCAGTCAGTCAGTCAGTGAGTCGTTACTGAAACAGGATGGAGCTTGGTCCACTCTCTGTGACTGTCTGTAAGTAAATGTTTTTTTGCTTATATCTTCATTAGAGTCAGTGATGCTGTATGAAGTTGTTTAAATACAGTCTGAAGCTCTAAGTAATTCGATTTTGTTAATCTAGTTCAGCTAGCTAAGCTTTTATATCGAAGATGCTGAAGTTAAGTTGTTCCAGTTTGAAGTTCGATGTGTGAGCTCCATCTCTACCATGTTATGAAAAAATGTTTTGAGTGACAGTACCTACAGACAGAGTGCACACGATAAGGTATATATCATTGCTGTCAAAAAGAAAAAAAACAAACAGTTTTATCTGATTTTTAGGGTCATTAAAGTAATGTGCATTTGAATTTTGCACAACTTAGTGAGCAAAGATGTTTTCAGTCTTCAGGGTGAATCTAGAGGAATGTTTTTCAGACTTTAGATTTGCAGATAAAGTTGTTTGGGAAAATGAGAGGATTACCAAAAACATTCTATTTCAGACTATTAGGTTGTGCTAAATTAACTTGATGAAAGTCATGATTTTTAATTGATTAAAAACTGTAAACAGTACAGTTGTAGCAATGTTGGTGGGGTACAGTGTGGTTGTAGCAGTTGTAGTAGTGAACAGTACAACTGTTGCAGTAGGGGTAGGGAACAATGCAGTTTTAGCAGTGGTGGTAGTGAGAAGTGCAGTTGTAGCGGTAGTGGTGGTGAACAGTAGTTTTAACAGTGGTAATGAATTGTATAGCTGTAGCAGTGGTAGTAGTGAAGTGTGTTGATTGTAGCAGTGATGGTGTTGAACAGTGCAGTTGTAGCAGTGGTAGTAGTGAACAGTATGGCTGTAGCAGCTGTGGTTTTGAACAGTGTAGTTATAACAGTGCAGTTGTAGCAGTGTTGTTTTTGAACAGTTCAATTGTAACAGTATAGTTGTAGCAGTGGTAGTAGTGACCAGTATGGCTTTAGCAGCTGTGGTTTTGAACAATATACAGTTGTAGCAGTGGTAGTAGTGAACAGTATGATTGTAGCAGTGGTGCTTTTAAACAGTGTAGTATTAGCAGTGCAGTTGTAGCAGTGGTAGTAGTGAACAGTATGATTGTAGCAGTGGTGGTTTTAAACAGTGTAGTATTAGCAGTGCAGTTGTAGCAGTGGTAGTAGTGAACAGTATGATTGTAGCAGTGGTGTTTTTAAACAGTGTAGTATTAGCAGTGCAGTTGTAGCAGTGGTATTAGTGACCGGTAAGGCTGTAGCAGTGGTGGTTTTGAACAGTGCAGTTGTAGCAGTGGTATTAGTGAACAGTATGGCTTTTGCAGCGGCGGTTTTGAACAGTACAGTTGTAGCAGTGGTGGTTTTGAACAATGTAGTTGTAGCAGTGCAGTTGTAGCAGTTGTGTTTTTAAACAGTGCAGTTGTAACAGTATCAGTGGTGGTTTTGAACAGTGTAGTTGTAAAAGTACAGTTGTAGCAGTGGTAGTAGTGACCAGTATGATTGTAGCATTGGTGGTTTTGAACAGTGCAGTTGTAACAGTACAGTTGTAGCAGTGGTAGTAGTGAACAGTATCACTGTAGCAGTGGTGTTTTGAACAGTATAGTTGTAGCAGTGGTAGTAGTGAACAGTATGGCTGTAGCAATGGTGGTTTTGAACAATGTAGTTGTAACTGCAGTTGTAGCAGTTGTGTTTTTAAACAGTGCAGTTGTAACAGTACAGTTGTAGCAGTGGTAGTAGTGACTACCACTTCTACACTGTAGCATGGCTGTAGCAGTGGTGGTTTTGAATAATGCAGTTGTAACAGTGCAGTTTGAGCAGTGGTTTTGAACAGTATAGCTGTAACAGTACAGTTGTAGCAGTGGTAGTAGTGAACAGTATGGCTGTAACAGTGCAGTTGCAACAGTACACTTGAAACAGCAGAGGTTTGGAACAGTTCAGTTGTAATATTGGTAGTTTTGAACAGTGCAATTGTAGTGCTAGTGGTTTTAAACAGTGCAGTTGTAACCGTGGTTGAGGTGAACAGTGCAGTCACCACTGCTACAGTTGTAGGTGTGCTGTGAAACTCCACACCTTTTAGTGCCTGGCAGTGTCTGGCAGTGATCTGTCACAAATAGACAGGAAAAAAGGTCACTTAGTTTGTAAAGAAAAAGAGTTTTATAGTTAGAGACTGACAGAATTTGTAGCATGTGAAACAATGAGAAATACGAATGAGTGTTGTTTTGATGAAATATGCAGATTGATTTAAGATAAAGGTATGACACTGTGTGTGAAGGAGGGTAACACTGTTCACCTGAGCACACTCATTCATTCTGCCTGTAATAGCTGCTAATATTTCACATTAATGCAACATGTCCTCTGTCCCTTTCCCTACTTTAGTGCTGATTATACTCATCCACTATGGACAAACTCAAGGTGAATCATCCACATTTACTGGAATTTTTGCATTCATGAATACATATATTTGCATGTATCATTTGCTCCTATTTTATAGATTGCTATGGCAAAAACCTTTTTTTTTTTTTACTCTTTTTAAACGAATGTATGCTTTATGTGTTTACATGCGCTGTGCATTGGAACATTGAAAAATTAAGCTGACTTTGTCAGTAGGTAGAAGATCATGTAAATTAAAAATGTTTTTTATTAAAACATAAATGTTATTTCTTACAGAGGATGCTGGACAATTCAGTCATAAGACATAGGAACACTCATCTCATTAAACACATAGCACATGATTAATATGTTTAAACTACTGCTTATGTTGTAAAGGTGAAAGCAGCCCTGATAACTTCTTTGCACATCAACAGAAAAACCCAAACCAGCAGTGAGGGTGGAGCTTCAGAGGGCCGTCTACACCGGAGACACTGTTACTCTGATATGTAAACTGCAGCTCTCACTCACTGGATGGAAGTTTCTCTGGTACAAAAACTCTCAATCAGATCATCTGCCTGCTGTAGATGAAAACACCAACACAATCAATATAACAGTGTCTAATACAGGAACAGAGAAGTATAAATGTGTAGCACGCAGAGGAGAAACCTACACAGATTACAGTGATCCAGTCAAGATTACAGTCAGAGGTACGTCTGTTTTAGAGTTTAGAATCTCTGTAAAATTAATGCAATTCTTCCACATCATCCTATAATTTTATGTTTTTTGAGGCTATCATGTGTCTTTAGAGAGGGTATTTAAGTATTTATCTTCTGTGAACAGAGAGACCAAAGGCTAAAGTGAAAGTGCAGCCAGCTGAGCATGTGTTCATCAGAGAGAGAGTCACTCTCACATGTGACATAGAAGGTGGAGATGTCTGGAGTTACGAGTGGTTTAAGAATAATAAACGTCTCAGTGAAGCTGAAAGGAGGAAGAAATATGAAATCTCTAATGTTGATCAGTCTGATGAAGGTGATTATAGCTGTAAGGGAACAAAGTCAACAGAGCCGCGCTACTCAGAGACCAGTGATGCTGTTAGACTGACTGTATCAGGTGAGTCTCATCTTTCTCTATTTCTTATAGTGATAGTGTAGAGGAGCATTATTACTGCACGCCCATCTTCCTGTACAAAAATCCAAAATTTGAACACCCATGATCAAGTTAAATGTTCTGTTGGTCCTCTACAGAGAACACACTTAAATATCTAATTTGAATTTTAGTGCACAATTTCTATTTATTTAATGAGTTTACCAAATTGGAAAAAATAAAACATGACACAAAATGTGCCATAACTTTTGCACAGACTATGTAACTGTAGAGGACGTGTTCACTTATTTTCACTCAGAAAATCAACAAAACTTGATTTGATCAGAGGCACCCAAACTTTTGTACATGTCTGTACTTAAGAACGAGATGAAGAAGCTCATCTCATAAACACTGACTGCATGAGCTCATAGCAATAGCTGGAGTCTTTATGAAACTTTTGTCAGAGTTTGTTTACAGACACAAAGTGGGAGATGCAGTACAAGAACATGTTAAGATGTTTAAGGAGTGATGAGGTTGTGTGTATAAGCTGGAACAGCAGCTGTGAACAATTTAAAAACTGGATCAAATTTTCTTTCTTAACAGGAATAACAGAATAATTCTCTCTGGAACAATTGAATTGAATATAGTAATGTTTCAGCATTACAAAGAGAAGCCACTGAATATACTAAACTGGACCCAGTATCCATATGCATTTATTGTATGCATTCATGTAATATGAGTGAACATTTCTGTTTTCAAGGTATTGATCAACAGAATACAGCACACTGCTGCAGATTACTACAGGCTTTGCACATCATTCTGACCCACCATTCACTCCAAAACTAAAATGAACTTAGTTATTAAATAGCTTAGTAGTTTTGGCTGAACAGCTCTCTTTAACTGTAGTTATAGACAGGAATCTCTGCCTTACCATGGTCAGTATGATTGATGTAGCAATTCTTTAGCATTGGAAATGGGCTGGACATGCGTATGGTCTGGATGGAGATGATGTACTGTCAAAGATCTGAGGATTCATTATGATTATGATTTATTGTTCTTATTACACATTCTGAAAGCAGTGTGTGATTTCATGGCCTGCCTGTGTTCTTCATCTCCAACAGCAGTGAGACCCAAACCTAAACTCACATCAAGCCTTAAAGGAGCTGCACTGACAGGAAACTGGATTCTGGAGTGCAGGCTGGATGAATCTGCTGGATGGAGGTTTTACTGGTTAAAACACACACAGAATCCTCAGAATGAGATCAAGACTGAAACTCACTTCTACACCATCAGATCAGTTAGTGTCTCTGATGAAGGTCAGTACTGGTGCAGAGCTGCAAGAGGAAGCCCAGCCTACTACACACAGTACAGTGATGCACTCTGGGTAAATGTCACAGGCAAGTGAGACATTTCTGCTAAGTGATACTACATAGTGCTGAAGATCTACAGATGATCTATCTGATAATTCAGCTGCACTGATGTTAATTATAACTATAATGATTATAATATGAATAATAATATTTAGTAAATTCAAATTTATAGATGATTTCCAAATAGGGGGGAAAATAAATAAATAAACTAGACTAAACTTTATTGTTCCTATCCTTTTTCTTTGAAATGACTTTGACAGTGAAGGCTGTGCTTCTTCGATGCTCTGGCTCCTGCTATTAAAAAATAACCAGATCTGACTGTCCCCCTTTAGACAAGTTAAGACTAAATGAAATGTTGAAATCTTATTCAAAAAGTTGGACAGTTCTCCTTACTGAGAGATCTGGCAAAAACTCTTAGTCTTGTGTTCTCCCTCTCTCTCTTTTCTTTCAACTGATTAATTAGTGAATACTGTGGGCTACATTTAGTGCTAATTAAGTCACTATTAATAACGGTGTAAACTAACCTGTCTCATTTGCAGATGAGCAGACATATCTATACAGAATGATTAGCTGAATTAATTTCAGCAAAAGTGTTGATAACTTATGTATAGTTTATTAACACTAGATGATTTTGTTACAGAAAGTCCTAAAGCTGTGGTCTCCATAAAGCCTGATAAACTTGTGTTTAAAGGAGAGACTGTCATTCTGAGATGTGACATTCAGGCAGGAGGAGACACTGAGTGGAAATACAGCTGGTTTAAAAATGATCAACGATTCAGCACAAACAGAACAACACAGGAGTACATAATCAGCTCAGTTACAGAGTATTACAGTGATAAATACACCTGCAGAGGAGAAAGAAAAAGTGACTCTCAGAACTCAGAGATCAGTGATGCTGTTACACTGACTGTGTCTGGTGAGTCTGTGGGTTTGTTCTCATTAGCTAAGTGCTGGTGTCCCACACATAGACTAAGCTTAATCTTGGATTAAATTTTGGTGTCCTTGGAGAATTATAAGTTTAAGTTAAGTTACCCTTTATTAATCCCACAATGGGGAAATTCACCTCCACATTTAACCCATCTGTGCAGTGAAACACCAACATACACACTAGTGAATGCACACACACTAGGGGGCAGTGAGCACACTTGCCTAGAGCGGTGGACAGCCCTATCCACCGCGCCTGGGGAGCAGTTGGAGGTTAGGTGCCTTGCTCAAGGGCACTTCAGTCATGTCCTGTCACAAGGCTGGTTCCCTACTCTCCAGGCCCACGACTACCTCCAATTATTATTGGAAATTCTTTTTAAGCTTAATCTGGGTCTGGGAAACCGGCCCTATTTTTAATAATCTAATCACTATGTAACAAGCATATCACTTGTAAATTATGAACTTGCTTCTATTCTGCATTTGCTCTCTGTCAGGTGCAGCCCAGGCAGTACTGAGTGCGTCTCTGCAGAGCTGGCTGACTGAAGGAGACTCAGTGACTCTATGCTGTGAGGTTAGAGACTCCTCTACAGGCTGGACGTTCAGCTGGTACAGAGATGATGAGGAGCTCCTCTCAGACAGTAGAAGAGAAGCTGGAGGCTCCTTCACTCTCAGTCCTGCTGCTCTGAATCACTCTGGAGTTTATAAGTGCAGAGCATAGAGAGGAGAACCAGCCTTCCACACTCAGAACAGCAACACACAGCCACTGTGGATCACTGGTGAGGACATTTATACACATTAAATTGACAGTTTGTGAGGTATAATAAACTTGTAGCTGCACTCTTTAGGCTTCTTACTGACTGTAGCTTTTCTGTTTTTGCACAATTCACCAGCCCCCCTTCTACACTGTCCATCAGTGGAAAGAGGCCACTGTAGGACCACTGCTGACCACGTGAAGAAGTGACTTAGTCCTGTGGTTGTGGCATGTTAGTGTGTGGTATGAGTGTATCAGACACGTCAGTGTTTCTAGGGTAGTTATACAATGTGGAGGCTTACTGGCCACTTTATTAGATACACCTGCTTTGTTTGTATCTTGTATCTTGTGGGTGCATGGTTAGAGACTATAGAGCTAGAGATTTTGACTAAAAATGTGTTATAACCTGTTGAGTAAGCATGTGATTATTTTGACATAAGTAATTATTTTGAATAAATCAGACATTATTTCAACATAATAAGTTAGATCTATGAGAAGTAAGTAATTATAATTAAACATATATAGATTTTGGGCTGCTAAGATAAACTTGAGTGTAACGCCAAATGCCTTGGGAAATCCTGTGATATTGTAAGATCCTTGTTTAATTTCACTCAGCGCATCCTGGTTGTTTAGAAAATTTATGATTTTTATGAAACCTGTGGTGAGTGTAACCTTTATAGCTGAGTGTAGGTATGTGGAGTGCATCAAAGGATGGCTGTGACCTTTCTGCCACTGAAGCCACAGTGTACAGTAAATAACATAGTAACGTAGCTTTAGTAATGCAGGGCTTGCGCAGATGAGAGAGCTTTCTCTTAATATACTTTAATAAGTGTTGTAGGAAATCTAGTTACTGTATATACCGTAACTAGTGAAACAAGCACGGAGCACACAGCTCAGAACTCAGCAGCTGTAGTTATGAGAGGGTGGAGCCAGGGTGGAGCTGAAGCTGAGTAGAGCCAGCTCAAAATGGGAGAGTCTATGTGAGGACGCTCCAGAGAAGACTTGGTGGAGCAGAAGTGAGAACGAGGGAGTCAGTCCATGTGCCATGACAGAGCCCTGAAACACAGAACGGACTCGGCACAAAGTCCAGAGGTAGGGACAGTCTAGCAAATCAGTCCACAGAAGGGGCAAGGCCAGGGGGGGGCAGGAACTGCAGGCAGTGAGGCAGAACTCAGGCGAGGTTGCTGGGCCTTTCTCGATGATCTGGTCAGCAAAGGTCGACTAATCAGGTGACTGGGCGGCCAGCTGGTCAGGAGCAAGAGACTCTGAGAACAGCAGGTCAGCAGACCTCAGTAGAGGCTGCCTGCAGAGGCGGTTTCAGGTATGATAAAGAATTTAAACTCCAAGTGTGAGTAGATCCCGTTATTACGTGACACAAACAAACTGGACTGGTTTGTGCTTTTATACATAGCAGAAACACAAACTAAGGATGAATATGTGGTTGAGAAATGCAGGTATCACTGTAAGAGCTGGAGAATATTTTACTACAAGCTGGCAGCAGACTTGAAATTATAAAGAGAGTAACTTGATGTTGAGCTCCCGACCTGGAAAATTGCTTTAGACTGCAAAAAATTATCTCTAGAGGCAAAACTAGATTGAAATCGGGCTAAAAACCATGTAGTGTTGGCCCAGCTTCAGTCAGTCCTGTTCTGTTTTTCAGGTTCGTCTTCTCCAGTCTCTGATCATCAGCCCCAGCAGAACTCAACACTTTATTAATGTCTCTCTCTCCCTGAGCTGTAAAGGACAGAGTGAGTCTACTGAATGGAGAGTGAGACGATACACACACAGTGGGAAGGTGTCAGATTGTTTATCAGATAGAAGATCAGTTACACGATCTACATGTAACATCAGCTCTCTCTCCACATCCCACACTGGAGTTTACTGGTGTCAGTCTGAATCTGGAGGGAGAAGTTCTCCTGTCAACATCACAGTGCACAGTGAGTCTATATTAGTCTTTAGAAATAATACAAAAAAATAGTCCAGTAACCCTGGAAAGAAATGCTGAAAACTAAATGATTTCATTAATTGACATGATACTGGTGAAGATCAATCATACTGTCAGTAAATACTATTTTGCAGTTTTACTGTTGATGCTTAATAAATATTTAAACCTAAAGCCTTATCTTACTACCAAGCTAATCATCCTAGACCAGGGGTCGGCAACCCAAAGGTTAGGAAGAGACATTTTGACGAGTTTCAACACAAATCTAACCACCTTGGGAGCCGCAGTTTCTTGTAAAATGTCTCTTAACATTTGACTTTTTACGAGGCTGAAGTCAGCTTGTCATTCTCCTGCTTCTCATTCGAATTTTCCCGTTCCACCTTAAATGGTGCCTGAGGCGCCAGAATGCAGTTAACTATGTAGCTAACTGTTGTACCATTTAAGGTGGAACGGGACAATTCAAACAAGAAACTGGCGAAAGAGAAGTGACTTCAGCTTTTCAGCATTTTAGTGTTTAACAGTTTCTCGTTGCAGATTAAGTGTATCCAGAAACCAGCTGGAGTGCTTATAAATGCAAATAAGTCATCTCCAAATTATCTATTTTTGACTTAAATCTCTCTCTTTGCCTTATCGTTGTAGATAGGCGAGATTATTTGAGCAGTCTGCGTGCCAAACTTCGGGGATAAAGGGTGAATAAGCAGTTATACATTTAACTCCAGTGTTTAAGACCATTTATTGTTAAAACTGTGTTAGAATGATTAGCAGAGCTTTATTTTACTGCAAAAGAGGATTATTTTATTTTTACCTAAAAATCTAATTCTGCTGTGGAGCTGTAACAGGGCAGTAAAAGAGCAGTGTGTTGCCGACCCCTGCCCTAGACCTTGGTAAACAAAACTGTATTATTATCTGAAGTTTCATTTAATTGAAACTGAAATTCTACAATTTCTCTCTCTCATCACCTGCTTCAGTTCACTGCAGCTCACATAGTTACGCTGAGATAAATAACAGACTCAGGCTTTAGCAGAGCTCAGTAACACTGAGATTAATAACTGATCATCACATTGATTTATCAGTCTACTCAGGCTTTAGCAGAGCTCAGTAACACTGAGATTAATAACTGATCATCACATTGATTAATCAGTCTACTCAGGCTTTAGTAGAGCTCAGTAACATGGAGATTAATAACTGATCATTACATTGATTTATCAGTCTACTCAGGCTTTAGTAGAGCTCAGTAACACTGAGATTAATAACTGATCATTACATTTATTTATCAGTCTACTCAGGCTTTAGCAGGAACTTCAGTTTGTAAAGAAGCTGAACATGCTTTCTGATTTTTAATAGCTAATAAAAAAACAAAAATGGTGTTTTTTTTTAGGCTTGTATTTTTTTTAATTTAGTGGCCATTTAGTATTTCAGAAAAATAACTGTTCTCTGAATACTGTCTTTACAAAATGTAACCTTGACTGAATACAGATACTTCATTTATTCTGAATATTCAGAATATTCAGTATTCTCAATATTTATCTTCTATTACATCCCAACCTTGCTGATTGTAGTGCAGGCCACTGGAATTCATCCACACCAAACTTGTCACACCATGTCTTTATGGACCTCGCTTTGTGCGCAGGGGCACACTTATGCTGGAACAGGAAAGGGCCTTCACCAAACTGTTGCCACAAAGTTGGAAGCATATAATTGTCTAAAATGTCTTTGTATGCTGTAGCTTTAACATTACCTTTCACTGTATCTGAGGGGCTGAGCCCAAATCCTGAAAAACAGCTACAGACCGTTATCACTCCTCCACCAAACTTTACTGCTGGCATTATGCATCCATTAGGTAGCATTTTTTGTCTGTGAGACTGCCAGATAGTGAAGCATGATTCATCACTCCAAAGAACACTTTTCCACTGCTCCAGAGTTCATACTTTACTCTAGCCAATGCTTGGCATTGTGCATAGTGAACTCAGGCTTGTATGCAGCTGCTCGGCCATGCAAACCCATTTCATTAATCTCCTGACCACAGTTCTTATGCTGATTTAGCTTCTAGAGTCAGTTTGAAATGCTTTGGTGAGTAATGCAACAGAGGACAGGTGTTCTTTATGTGCTACATGCTTCAGCACTTGGCAGCCCCCCTCTGTGAGTTTGTGTAGTCTGCCGCTTCATGGCTGAGCTGTTGTTGCTCTTAGACATTTCCATTTCACGATATCACTTACAGTTGACCAGAGCAGCACTATCAGGGCAAAAATTTCATGAACTGACTAGTCGCAAAAGTGGCATCCTATGATGATGTCACATTTTAAGTCACTGAGCTCTTCAGTATGATCCTTTCTAATGCCAGTGCTTGTCTATGGATATTGCATGGTTATGTACTTGATTTTATACACCTGCAAAGAATGGATATGGCTGAGATGCCTCAACCCAGTAATTAGGAGAAATGTCTGCATACCTTTGGCCACATAGAGTGTGGGTGTGTGTGTGAGTGTGTGTGTGTGAGTGTGTGTGTGTGTGTGTGCGTGTGTGTGTGTGTGTGTGTGTGTGTGTGTGCGCTGTGTCTGATCCACTCAGGGAAAAAATAGGGAACAGGGGAAAAGGGGCCTAACAAAGTATGCAGAGAAACAGATGGACTATAGTCTGTACTGTGATTGATCACTTCTTTCTACTTTTTTGTATAATTTGAACTCAAATTATGTTTAAATATCATGATGAATGGAGCAGTACAAAAAAAACATTTTGTGAAAAACAATCTTGCCACATTAACTTATATTAGAAGTTAATGTTTTTTCCTTCTGCTATAACCATTTTGGAGTGTTACCATTTTGGAGATACAAGGTTTTGTTCCAATCTGCTTAAAGTTCATCTCTGTTGGTGCTCTATGGTGGCCCTTTCATTTTTTTTAATGATTTTATTATTTGTGCATGTGTATTTCAGGTCTGTCTGATTCACAAGCTCTATTCTCAGTCCTCAGTCTGCTCAGTAGTCTACTGGCAGTGTCTCCATATCTGCTGGTGTCCATCATACTGGGAGTTAAATGCTACAGAGCTCGAGGTGAGAACTCACATTTTCCCTGTGTGTCTTTTTCAAAGAGCCAGTAGTGGATCACTCACAGGAAAGTAGTGGATCACTTAAACACTTTTAGCTACACAGATTCAGGTATTTATTACACTTAAACTGAATCATAACATGTAATTGAAGGCTATTCTGAAATTTTCATTGTGTATTTTACAGCTAAACGTGATGAGGCAAACAGACCATAAACACTGATAGAAGCTGGACCATCTTGTTGAGTGCTGAATACTAAGTTTCTACAGTATTATTATTCTAATCTTGTGTGCTTTCTGGACCATATTGGAGACCACTCAATCTAACAGAGCAGCTGTAGAGGCTTTTAAATAACAGCTTCACCCACCGAAACATCCAGCAGGTCTAACTAAATGGTGCTGTAGTGCTGCTCCATATTGAGCCTTTAAACTTAATTAAATAATTAAAATGAGTTTTTATGAATGACTTTTATTCTTAATACATGCATATGCTACACATTTTGTGCCAATATTTTTTGTCACTTTTTCGGCTTTATATTATTGGGCCTTTCTGTGTTCATAACCACCTGCTTTGCTTATTTTATATATTGTACTTTCTTATACTGTACATTGGACTTTCAACGAAAACAAAGGATCACCATATGCAGAGTCCTCTATTTAGTCTGACAAATGTTGTAATTTGTGAAATGATCATTTTGTGACTTTATGACCACCTGAGCAACGATCATTATTTTTTATCTTGTGTATATTTATTTTTTCACTATTCCTGTTTTTGCTGTAATTAGTGTGTCTATAATCACCAATATAAACTGTGGTTGGTTTTTCATCATTTGTATTAAAAAAAAATACAGAAATTAAATTGTAATATTAACAATAAGGTTTATTTTACTTTTAATGAACAAGTAGTTTATGGTAAATGTCTTTATTTGGTGCCCGGATTCTCATAACTGCTGTTCTGAACCAGTACTGGCATTTCAGCTCTTTATGTTACTACCAAGGTTTTAGAGACACTTTTTGTCTACTTCTATCCCTGAAGTAGCTTCATTTTGCTTACAGTACAAAGAACAGCAACAGGGCTACAGAAAGAGGCAGAAGTATTCCGCCAAGAAATGTAGTTCCTTTAGAGTGTGGTATCGTTGCTAAGCAGCCGTTGACCGCTGAATGAGAAGAATGTTCTGAGGCTGAATCTCAAACGGCTCCTGCTCCCTACATAGTGCACTACGTAGGAATTTAAATACAGTTGTTTAGCATGTTTGCTGTCTTTTAGCCTGTTGGCTAGCTGACCAGTCTAGTTCTAGTACAGAAAATAAGTTTTCAGCTCCTCAGTTTAAACAGAAATGGGTTCTTACTTCATCAGTACACTCAGTGCTCTGTGCGATCAGCATTAGAGTCAAAGATTATCCCATTAACAGCAGAAGGGTTTTTCGTGCTGTGGTGCGGTAATATAGAGTTCAGTTGCTGAGAGACGGTCATAGCTGTGGTATGTCGTGGATTTTACAATGGCTTCGAACACAGCTCAGCCAATCAGATTTTAGGACCGGAACTATCTGTTTTATAATAAAGCAATAAGCCATGAGAGACCGTGGGTTACAATGATTTTATCACTGAAAGGGTGTTCTTAGGCAGGAAGCGGAGTGCCTAAAACTCCCTTCTCTGTGATAAAATCGCAGCAACGCACAGCCTCAAGTGGCTTATTGTTTTTAGAAAATGGCGGCCAACATGAAATATAATTACACACTTTTTCAGAAACATAATTTAATAAATTATAATCATCATCAACAAATATTCTACCAAGAACTGTAACCTAGTTTCTTTAGAGTATGGTTTTTGTACGTTCGGTTGCCATTACTGTATATTGCTGTCATTTCATGATTTTTTTTACTTTTTGTCGTATAACAATGAACATATAATAACAGCACTATTTAATACAAAAACTTTTGCTTTATAAGTACTTTTTGGTCACCAAATTACCAACCCAAGTCTTATTTAGCACCAATCCAGCAGTGCCCCTCTTTTCATGCTGGGGCTGAATCCCAAATGGCTCCCTGCTCCCTACATAGTGCACTATGTAGGAATATAAATATTGAATCCTGCACCCCAACAGTGCCTAATATAGCTAAAAAGGCACAAGCCAACAATTATCTATAAATAATTAATGAATGAGGTGCAAAGATATTAATCAATTGAAAATAAAAGGAAAGGAAATGGTGCTGTTTCACGCAAAAATGTAATTGTTTTATTATTAGCTGATTAGCTGATTTATTGATCATTAAACCACAGCGACAAATCTATGGAAGCCATCTCACTGTTCACATGTCCATACACTCAATTTAGAGCATTTGTCCGCTTTATCATCCAAACACGTATATAGAGTAGACTGTTTCAGAGAGCTGAGGGCAGAGAGACTTTATTTAGGTGTTTGTGGTCTGACGTCTGTTCCAGTAAAACAGATTAAAGCAATAGATGGTTTATCATCTTCATCGATGCTGTCTCTGTGCTATGATGAGGCCTAAATCCTGACCGTAATTTTTCATGAATGAGATTCTTATCAAAGCATGAGCTGCTGTGAGTCTGTAATTTGATTGACCCACGGAGATTGAGATTTTAAGAGGTTTGATTACTACTAGTTACTGTTTTTGATACACAGTCAGAACTTTGAGGAGAGTTCCCGAATAGCATGCTGACATTGAAATATTATTGATTTTCATCTAAACCAATTTGGGCAATGCTGAAAGTTAAACTATACATGAAAGTTGCCAGCTCTTAATCTTCTCAAAAATGATATGTATACAGTATATACAGTTGCAAAAGCCTCTGGTCAAACTACACACTTTGTTGATTTTCAAAGTAAAAATACGTTAACACTTCCTTTAAAAGGTACAAACTTAAATATGGCATTGTTCTGCAAATTATTGCATAAAAATATATATTTATTTGCTGAGTTATATTACTTTATACACATTGGAAAAAAATACAACATAAAATTTTAAATGTGCAATTTTGTGTTTTTTTTTCAGTATGTTAAATTCAGCAAATAAACAGTTATTGTGCATTAAAAAATAGAGGATGCTTTGACTAATTTGAGATTTGAGACTTATTTTTGTTTGAGATCATGTGACAGGAATGTAAACTTATGCCCTACACCTCAAGTCTTCTCTGCAGTCGGATGCAGCCTCTTTAAGAGGTAAAAAATGTAAAAAGTTAGACGTTTGAGTTATAGACAGCTTTGTATCAAGCTGAATATTAATCAGTTTAAAGATTTACATGATTTGCTGTTACAGAGCCAAAATGCCCAGTCATGATTTTAGATATCAGCTATGCTAGCCAGTGGTCAGTGGTGCTTTTGAAATAACAATGAGAAAGAGAAATATCCTCACTGTTAGGCTGCTTGTAGAAGTGGTTAAGAACACAGCTAGTATGTAAGCCAGCCATCATGTTTATGAGCATTTACTTACTTGTTTGTGTCCTGATTTAAATGACAGCATTTGAAGTCATTATTTACTTACTCGCTACTTTATTGATTACCTAATAATTACATATATATATATATATATATATATATATATATATATATATATATTACTAGGGAACTATAGAATATTTTATTACATTTTTGATTCTTTTACTTTATCTTCCATATTCAAATATTTCATAAGAATCACTTTAATAGTTACTATTATTTTTTTAAACCTTATTGTTATTTGTTATTAATATTATTGTTGTTGTTGTTGCTGCAACTTGAAATACAATATCTTAAATCAAGGGTGCTTGGTTTCTGGTCCTGGAGATCTACCATCCTGTAGACTTCAGATCCAGCACACCTGGCTCTATGATTCTGATGCCCCTGAAGGCCTTCATTACCTGACTCCAGGACTGAGCACAGCTTTTTGGTCAGCTTAGCCATGTTGTAGATTCTATATTAGCACGTTGTGACTGTGACCATGTAAGCCACTCAAAAACCCACTTTCATTGAAACAACACAACTAACTCAGTTACATACATTTGTTAAGGGATATCAACAACTTTTTTTTGTTTTTTTTTAGCAGACACAGAAAGAAAAATGATGAATTCATATATGAAAGCATATCTAATCAATAAAAAGAGAGTATCTGCACACTTTTTTGGCCAAACCTGCATCTCAGAATAGACCTCAGAGAGCTGAGAGCAGAGAGATATTATTTAGGTGTTTGTGGTCAGACTTCTGTTCCAGAGTAACTATGGTAATGACATTTTCACCTCAAGAGGAACTGAACTAAAAAGAAACCTTGTTAAAAAGGTGGTCATAGTTTATTTAAAGCTGTCAGGTCACACTTATTCCATCCTGTTTGGAACATAAATTTGAAGCCTAATTATATCAACAAAATATAAGACATTACAAGTTTGAACTGGTTTAAACAAGTCACACTTATTATTAGGGAGTTAGATTCACACCATTAGAAATTTGATTTTAAATGCAAAAATCTGAATTTGAATGTTAGTATTTTTAATCTGTATCATACCATCTGAAACTGAATTCTGGACTGAAATTTTAAAGTTTGTAAGACAGCAATAAAAAAACTGAATTTCACGGCAATGTATAGTTGAACATCTGAAATACATTTTCTAAAAAGCATTTCGTTTTTTTATTAATTTTCAGATTCACTTTCAAAATAACATCCAGGTGTCATATTTTGTACAGGCTTTCAGTGGCCTGTAAACCCCGACAATGTGGATATGCCTTATACACTTGTGCCACTACTGTTTCAGTGTCACTGCTGTGCTGAGAGTGATAAATCACCCACATAATATCTGGTCATTGGTGGTCCTGTGGTGTCTATTTGTACTGATGAATGGTGTTGAGGGGGGGTTCATAAATTGCAGCAATAAATGGGCTACAGTCAGTAATTGCAAGTGTACCAGTATAGTAGGTGTTTTGGTAAGAAAAGATTCAGTGTTTGACTGCTTTTGCCTGTAAGACATTTGAATGTTATTTTGAAAGTGAATCTGAAAAATATTAATTAATAAAAAAAACTAAAAGCTTTTTAGAAATTGAATTTCAGATGTTGAACTTTACATCATCAACGTAAAGACCAGTTTCAGATTTTTTTATCACTGTCTCACAAACCTTAAAATTCAGTTTCAGTTCAGAATTCAGTTTCAGATGGTATGATACAGATTCAAAATAATAACATTCAAATTCCTATGGTGTGAATTTAATTCAATACATACAATTATTAAAACACTGAATCATAGTTAAAGTATAAAACCAAAAACAAAATCCAAGATTGCACTGATTTGATATTTCTAAAAAGAAACAAAACCAGCAACAGACCCAACACACACACACACACACACACACACACACACACACACACACACACACACACACTAATGTTTTAATCCCTTAGACAGGGGGTATACTTGATTATTCAGTTAACTGTTAAAAAGTAGGCCTAAATAGTTGCTTGACCAATTCTATAGATTTGCTATAGCTCATTTATTTTAACTTGATTTGATTTCCAATAAACAACAGTTCCTATGTGAACAGGCAGGTTTATCACTCAAACTAGCACGTTTACTAAAATGAAGCATGCAGGTGTTTCTAACAGGACAAAAGCACAGCTACAACCATATATCATGTCGAAAGCAAACATCTGCAAATTATAAGGTCAGGCATGTATAACTGTAGAATACAGAACTTCAAGGGAGAATTTCTCTTATTTTTTTAAACTT